AATAAAATATCCTAGCAATAAAATAAAACCAAGCCTATTATTTTATTAGGAAAAGAAATATCCTCAAGAATTATCGGAAAGTTTTTATATATATTTAGCCTACTTAAATAATAGGTATAATCGAAAATTAAACGAATTAAAATAGCTGATAATTAACTTTAACGGAAGTAGGTATTTATTATATTATTAGACAAAATAATCCTTTCGTTTTCTTAAGTTACTTCCACTTTATAAATTATATTATAGACAATTTTGTGTTGTTCTGCACAAGTTTATTGTTACTTGCGCGGCCTGATTCTTTAACAATGATGTACAAGCGCAGATATAATTCAGATTAAAGATTAAAATTTGCAGTTGAGTGGAAAGTGACTTATACAGGAAATAGAGAAATAAAAAAAAGAAAATATTACCGTTTAATTTTTTGGTGGGCAGAGGATCTGATTCGATGTTCCAAGGCCCTGTCGACGACCCACTAGAATCTGACCCACTGACCCTCCTCCACAGCACTATTTTGTTTGTTTCGATCGTGTCAATAGAAATGCCGAAATTTATATGTTTTTTCAAGATACCTGAGAACGTATTTATCGTTAGAATATATGCTTAATTACACATTCATTTATTTGAATAATATTAGTTTTTGATTTATGGGTACCCAAGAGTGTACCCACATTCACTACAATCGTGTTGACCTTTTCTACGGGGATTTTGAAACGTTTTTCATATTTAATGAAATGTAATATTTTTGAAACGACAAAAATTGAGTTTGGTTGATGGGTCAATATCTAATAATCGGCCGAAATGTAAAAAAAAATGCTGGATGTCTTATTTCCTGTCGGGCACATTTTGCATTTTGATGCGTTTTTTTTATTATAAATTAAAGATTTAATAATAAACTACAAGGGCTTAAAATATTTACATAACGAAGTTATAGGCTGAGAACTATTTAACATTTTATTCGGGATGGTAGGTTTTGATATTAAACACGAAAATTTTCATTTTAAATTAAAGCGAATTGTTAAGGAGTCATTGTCTGCCGAAATTTAAATTTGAATTTGCCAAGTTCTTAATTAACGCGGAGTACGAATAGGCGGCGTAAAGATAGGTAAGAGATCTCGGGTTTATTTCATTTATTTTAATTTTGCAGAGAGTTTGTTTGGGTCTGGATTGTATTAATTAATTATTTTAAATAAAAATACTCAGGTTGCAATGCATTTTGAAAAAATTCCGCCTGTGGAAATGCCCTTTTGCAGTGGCGTGGCACAGATGGGGCCTGTATCAAAAATTTGGGAGATCCTATCCATAAGCGTTGCAGGCAAAAAAATTCCAGGTGCCACGTCCAAATAAATCTATTTTGTAAACAAAAAACCTTTTTTAGGCTATCAATTTTTTTGACATTCATCGATTCCTTATGATTTAATAAATATTATATATTTTTTTGGGTATCTACATGTAAATTTTAAATATTGGTCCTTTTACATCTCATCGAATAGAATTTTTTTACCAAGAAGTGAGTAGTATTTGTTCGCCAAAAGAAAAATAAAAAAGACTGCTGTTTTCATATATTTTCCTTAATATAATAATAATTATTAATTATTATTAATAAGAATTATTCTTAAAAACATTCTGTTTGTGATGTTCTAAAATATACTTTGCCTATTTAAAATATTGTCACTTTTTCTTATGCTCAACATAATAATTCATTAATTTTTCGTTATGTTATCATATATATATATATTTATAAATATACCGGGTGAGTTTTTTAAAGTTTTACAAGGGGATATTTTGAAAACGGTTTAATTTTTTTTTGTAATATTTTGGTAAACTAATAGAGAAAGGATATTTAAACATATGTTTGACACCTACCCCCTATCCCAATTTTGAGGGGCGGGGGATTTTTAATAGGGATGATGTACTTAATTAAAACAATCGAATCTACGAAAATGTTTTAATTTGCGCTTTCGGTTACTGAACTATAATTTATTAGAAAATAAATACTACAAATTTTTAACTAATTTATCGTCATGTCTGAGAAATTCTTCAAAATGTTCCCCTTCAACTTCCAAACGCTTTCTCATTCTTTTTCTAAATGAATTTCGTACACTTGATAAATAAATTAAAAACATTTTTTAGTATTTTATAATCTTATAAATCATAATTCCGTAAGCGAAAGCGCAAAACAATTTTTTTTGCACACATACTGTTTAAAATATGTGTGGTGTAAAGAGTAATCTTAAAATGGTGTCAAAATCCAACACCAAATGGTGTTAATATAAACACCATGAATTATGGTTGAAAATGTTATATACAGCAAACACCAAAACGGTGTTTATCTAAAAAAAAATTGAGAAGTGCACCTACACAGAAAAAAGGAATAGGTAGTTCATTTAACTATATTAATTTAGTTAACCCATAAGTATTTATTTAAATCAACTGTGGGAAGGTTAATATAAACAAAGATTAGTTTGACGGTACTTAACCAGATAGTTTTTTTTTTTTAATTGGTTAAATTAACCCAGAAAACTTTAGTGAAACCAACCCGCTGTATGGTTCAGTTTACTAAATATGTTGTTTGTAAAATAAGAGTTACTTCAACCTAAAGCACTTTGTTAAAACGATTAAAACAATTTGCCGTGCATTCCCGGTTGCATAGTGTGTACCGATCGCGGCAAAGGCGGTGTGGATCAAGTGATGTTCTTAAATCTCGCCTCTGTTGACTTACATGAAGAGTATATAAGCTTAGGTAGTCCTTTGCTTTGGTGAGTATATTTGTTATAATATATTACATATTATGGTGAGACACTACAAGTTGTTCGATACTAAAGAGACCTTATGTTCCGTTCATATAAGAGTTCTTAAAGAGATCTTATGTTCTGTGAGAGACCTTAAATAGGGAAAAACAGCTGTCAATACTTGAAGTATTTTAAGTTGGTGGAACGCACTAAAAACATTATGTCTAGCGAGTTTTCTGGAATAATACCACTGGTAATGTACTAGTAATGCGTCAAGGAACTTTTTCCTTTTTTTCTGTGTAGTATGATTTAATTTGACCAAAACCACATAATATTTAACACTGAAAAGGAGTTCAATTTACACCAGGTAAAATTTATTTTAATACTGTGTGAAAGTTAAATTTACACTATTTTAGTATTTGAATTTACTACAGCCTTAGAATTATAGGTACTGCACTTGTCAAATATGTCGAGGTTATAAAAAATACAGTGCCGTAGATATAAACCAGCCGCCAGTTTGATAGCTAATTGAATAATGCCTCGCCGATATCTGATTTTGAAAAAAATGGTGATTTGACAAATAAAGAACCTCTCATTTTTATACGTGTACGCTTTTTATTTGCATACGACTCTATGTCCCCCCACCTCTCTATTAATTAAAAAAAAAATTTAAACCTTTTTGAAACATTCCCTTGTAACAGTTTCAAAAACTCACCTGGTATATTATATAGGTATTTCTTTAATATTACACAAAGTTAATATTGGCTTAATGTTGCTTTTTCAGCTTCAATTATTCTTTATTCTAAACTTTATTACGAAAAAAAACAATTGCGTAACTAAATTTTTACTTTATTTTTGCCCTATTTGGCTATCTGGGTTAGTACTTAATATTGTAGATAAGGTATTTTTGCTTTAAGGCCCTAAACTATGGCGCAATGAATTTAAAGCCAATTTTATTTAATAATTTATCTGACATGTGCCAGACAGTTTCAAAGTCAATTTTTTTGTTTAATTTTAATTTAAAGCCCGTTGGAGTTACTTGCGTCTATATCCCAAACCTATTCCCTGTCAAATGCGTTCCGGAGTTTGTCACTGTCAAGTGTTTCTTTAACAAATTTTAAAGTAAAAAGTTATGCAGGTACACTGCATTGTGCCATACCAAACCAACCCAAACTTAACAACCCAACCCAACCCAACCGACCCCGCCCCATTGGGCCCCTCCCGCCCCATTGAGCAATAGAGGTATAATATATCTAAGGGCAGGCTGGATTGTGACAATGGGTCGGGAGGGGCCCAATGGGGCGGGGTCGGTTGGGTTGGGTTGTTAAGTTTGGGTTAGTTTGGTATGGCACAATGCAGTGTACCTGCATAACCAAAATGACAGGGAATAGGTTTGGGATATAGACGCAAGTGTTGGAGTTGAAGTTAACCATTAGAAAATTGATTATTTCGCCCACCCTTAGGCAATGGGCAGGACGTACCGTACCGTACCGGTACTTGCTGGGATGCTTTAATAAAAAAAATAGAAACATGTTATAGATATTCTGGGATGCCCTGTATACAAAATATTCTAAAAACATAAAAAATAGTACAAATTGTATTTAATCGTTAAATTTATAATGGTCTAATTAATTACGAAAACTCAAAATATAAAAAAATAAATAAAATATTTTGATACTTACCCCTTAAAATAAAAATTATTTTTATATCATTTTATTTCAGATTTAAAAAAAAATATTTTTGATAAAAGTTTTTGCTTGATTTCAAACCCCAGACAGATTATTTTTATTGTCTATGTTTATTTAATTTGCAATTTTATTTTTTTTGAAAATTTTGCACCGACATTTTTTTGATAAAAAATATTTTTTATTTTCTTTTTAACAAATAAATGTTATTACGGTAGGTAGAAAAGTAATCTCTCAAGAATTCCATTATTTTTACTTATGAAAAAGTATAAAAATGCATAAAGCATGAAAAATTTATTTTGATAAATGGAAAGAAGCGATTTCTTTTGAAAAAAGACAAATGAACAAAAACTGACCAAAAATGATTTTTATCAAAAACTTTTCAGTCCGTAAATTATCAAAAAAGTCAAAAATTGCAAATTAACCATAGATTATAAAAAATATGTGTTGCATATTCTGGGAATAAAATTTTCTTTTCTTCCCTCTTTGGTACCCCATTAACTGTGAGATGGTCTAAAAAAAAATAATACTAGAAAGTTAAATTATGTACTTTTTTATTAAAATTAAACTAAAAAATAGAATTATATTATTCTTGTTTGTAAACCGTCCCTTTCAAAACGGCCTTATCTAAAATCTGCGCGAAAGTCCTCTGCGCCAGATCGCACAATTGCTCACTTTCCTGCGCAGAAATTTCCAAACCTTTACCCAAGTGAGCGTCAAAGTGCGACGCTAGCGACGCCTGAGATTCGCACACCCTCGCAAGCTGCATCAGCAGATTGATTATATCTTCTGTGAGGGGAGGAAACGCCTCGCTTATCTTAATTAAAGATGGAAGCACTGGTTTAAAGAGCTTTACTCTTTGGGCACTGGATATGCCTGTAAATAAGTATTGGTTTTTGTATATAGTTTTTTAGGAATATACCTACATATATATATAATAAAAATGTCGATTAAAGTCGCGAGATGGCGCGTCGCTGCATATGGGGCGCAGTTTTGTTTTTTATTCAGGAATTAGTTTTATGTATTAATATAATATAACCTTAGAGATACAAAATATCACTTTTTAATTTTTATAGCAGATATTTTAAAATTAGATTTAATTTTTAACTGATATTTTTAGTTTGGTGAATTTGAAATATCTGTTTCTTATATTAGTATTTTTAAGTTAAACTCTCTAAATTAAAAATTTGGTTTATGGTCATTTTAAGCATACGAACGGGACAAATCACAAAACTGTTTTTATAAAAAAAATGTAGGTAGGTAATTTATTATACAATATTTTTGCATCAAAACTGTCAAATATATTCTTCTTTTATTAGGAATTACCTTAAATAACAAAACGCAAGAAACATTTTTATAAAAGTAGACATAATTTTAATAATTGACAGATGTGGACAGTACAAGATAAATCTTTTTTTTAATGTATAGCATAATAATAGAAGAATATTTTTAACAATTTTAATGCCAAAATATTAAATTAATAAATTATCTAAAATTTTTTTATGAAAACAGTTTTGTAATACGTGCGTTTCGCGCTCTTGAAATGGCCGATTAATTTGTATGCCAAACTGATATTTTTTATTTAGTTAATTTAAAATATTTGCTTCTGTAATTTTTTGCTAAGTTTAGCACATATTAAAAATATCATAGGAGAAAGTTTAAATGTATTAAAAATATCATAGGACATATTTTTAATTCAATTGAATTTTTATTTTATGAAATAAGCAGATATTTTTAATTTAAAAATTTCTACTATAGTCGCGGCCAAATCTGTATGGGTGCACGTCATCAACGGCATATGACGTCAGCGTTAAGGTCTATTCATACGTGCCCAGACACAATCTAACGCTCGTGTATTGTTGACTGTTTATAGCGGTGGGGGCTGTTATTAAGATGGAATTATAACGTCCTTGTTATAATCTTCTGCACTAACTAATTAGGAGTTTGTTACAGGCATTTTTATTAAATGTGTTTAAAGAGAAAACAAACGGACTTTATTACATTTTTATTACATACCCTATGCACATAACAAAAAAATACTAAATTATCAGAAACACAAAAATAATAAATTACCAGTCGTCCTTGTCATCAGAGCAAACCAGGTCAGAATTGAAGTCTGATTATTTCCCCAAATTTATTATTAAGGGCGCAATGTCTTCGAAATCTAATAACGGCTACTTGCCAACAAGCCTTATATCATTGTTTGCACAATCCAGGGATATAATCTTATAAACATAATGTATAATATTATTTATAATAATTTGCAACAAACGATGCTTCCGGACGAAATGTCACAATTACAAAAATACGTCAAATATAAAATGACAGCGACCCATCAATAATATTGAACGGTGCGCGCCAGCCTTAAGCTATTACCAACTGGCACACACAAAAATTACTAAGTAAATGGTTTTATTTTGATAATTTCGTGAAAAAACGTTTTAAAACAAGGAAATTGTTACAGTTCTTGGTAATCAATACGCAAATGAATGATTTATTTTTAATAACACATCAGAATTACGCCTTAAAAAAGCAAATTTAACGGCAGTAACTTTACAATTCAAAGTTGGTAATGCTGACGTCATTATATCTCATTGATGACGTGCACCCATATAGATTTGGCCGTGACTATATGATATTTTTAATTTAGCGAATTAAAAATATGTGTTTAACTAAAAAATACAAATGTGGGAAATAGATATTTTATTTACATTCACTAAATTAAAAATATCAGCACACAAATTAAATTTAATTTTTAATGATCCACTATATTTTTAATTCGCAAAATAAAAATTCTTATATGATATTTTTATCTAATTGAAAATAATTCCTAAATAAAAACTAAAACTGCGCCCCATACCTGCACTTTAATATCAAAAAGTAAAAAAGCTTCAAGTATATTTTTTCAAAACAGGTTAAATTAATGTATACATAGATAATACACTGCGCGTCAAAATTAACGCATAATAAGTAAAAAAATTCCAACTCTAAACGCCTTTACCAATCTTTATGAAATTTTGTATAAAAATAATTTAACTTATATCTTATATCAGTTTACGTGTTCGAGGGTTTTTCGAGAAAATATTTTTAAAGCCCTTTTATTTAATAATAAAAAATCGTTCGAAAAATAACTTTTAGGGATTTTTTTTAAGTAAATAAAAAATATGCTGTTAAAGGCGTATTTTTGTACAAATCAAACGAACAGTAACGAAGTAACGCTTCAAAGTCGGTAAAAATGACCCCTTTTTGATTATTTTGCTAAAAAGTGGTCATTTTTGACGACTTTGAAGCGCTGTATTTTCATTACTGTTCGTTTGATTTGTACATTTTCAGGTTATACTTACAAAAATATGGTACTTCACAGCATATTTTTTATTTACTTTAAAAATAAAAAGGCCTTAAGGATATTTTTTCGAAAAACCCTTGAACTGAGTTATAAGTTATTATAAGTTTTATAAAGAATGGTAAAGGCGTTTTGGAGTTGGCATTTTTTTACTTATTATGCGTTAATTTTGACGCGCAGTGTATATAAACAAAATAAAGCATTTAATATTATTTTACCTGCTAATAATCCATAAAGTAAATTGAGTGCTGTTACACACAAATTGAGACTTTTAGGCAGCGCATATTGAACGGAAAGTTCAGCCAATAATTGTATAGCGAATATTTGCTTATTCAAACTGGGTTGTTGTATCAATTCTTGTATGAAATCCAAGCAAATATGCATAGAAGGAACACCTTTCACAACAATTTCCAATAATTCACTGGGGTATCCCTATAAACATCAACACAATAATATATATTTATGTATGTATTTTATTTTAGACTCACTTGAAAATGTACCAATTTGGCCAACATGGTATCCGCAATAAAAGCTTGGTGCAAATAACTACAAACCAAAGATCTTACTTCTTGTAAAGCCCACTGTCGACCAGGAATTATTTGGTCCTCCTTAGTTTCCAGACATGTTTCCAATAACATTTGTACGGCAGCACTTTCCTATAAAAAAATAATTCCCTTAATTCGAGAAAATTTAAAGTACGTGGCAACAGCGCTAAATTATGGATGTTGATTCCCCACTCCACGGTATGGATTTTAATCGCGTAAACATAACCTCAAATGTAAACAAACGTCAAAACGTTTTAAATAAAATGGATAGGAAAAGAAAATACGATGATTATGATAGAAATAGGCCTTCTACATCAGGACATAAAAGGTAAATAACTTGAAAAACAATATTTAAGCCCATTTACAAATATTCAAATTTTAGGCGCAGATCGCTATCGCCCCAAAACAAGAAAATAGACGATTACAAATACGAATTAAGTAGATTTTTGGAAGAACACTGTAATTTAAAAAGTACCACGGAATTTTGGACATTCTACACTAAATACAAAACAAGACAGACCCTCGTAAAGAACGATATTGACAAGAATAAACTTTTAAACATAGACTTTGATCTAAGCAATAAGCAACTATATGAAAAATTACCACTGTTTGATAAAAGGGGTGATAAAGTTAGATTATTATTGGATGATTTCAAGGATTTTTTGTTGGTGTTAAGAATTTATTTAGATTTTCAACAAAAAAGTAAATTTTCAAAGCTGAAAAAGTTGAGAGGTATACAAAAAGATTTGCCCATAGCTCAATATAAAAATGAAATAATAAATTCATTGGCTGATGCAAAAGTAATGCTGATTGCAGGAGATACAGGGTGCGGAAAATCTACACAAGTACCACAATATGTTTTAGGTATGGTAGATATAAATTTAATTATTTGTTAAATGTTATTTTTTATTTTTAGAAGCAGGATACAAAAAAATAGTGTGTACGCAGCCCAGAAGAATAGCCTGTGTTTCATTGGCAAAAAGAGTTTCCTATGAAACCCTAACCGATTATAAAAGCACTGTAGGTTATCAAATTCGATTTGAAAGAACTAAAAGAGCAGATACCTCAATTATTTTTATGACTGAAGGTAAGAAAATAATTACACATTACAAATTTTTTTAATACATTTTTAATTAGTAACCTCTTTGGATTGCCATTCAGAGTATGTCTGATGTTTTAAGTATAAAAAACTAAAATTTCTAAATCAGGCATTTAAAAGCATTCATATTTTTTGTGTTAAGCTGTGACTAGGGTTTTAAAATTTCCAGAAAAATTAAGCCGGCGAAAAAAAATCGGAAAAATTGAGAGATTTTCATATATAATACCACAAGAGCTTCAAAATTATCGGGTATTTCCCGATAGGTTCGTTGCAAACAAATGAAGGAGTCAAGTTTTTCAGGTTAAAAAATCACGAGCGCGAAGCGCGAGTGATTTTTCCTGAAAAACTTGACGACTTTATTTGTTTGCAGGGAACCTTGAGGGAAATGCCAGATAATTTTGAAGCTCGTGTGGTATTCGGGGGATTATTTTTTTTGACAGTTCTCTGTATCTGTATGCTGCCCTCACCACCTCTCCAAGCCAATTCCACTGATATTATCATGAATAATTTTTTCTGGAGGCCATCAGGAGTTTCCTCGTCCCAAACAGTGGTCATTGCATCCCAATCTTTTTCCTCCAACGCTGCTGCACTTGCCCTCCGTTTTTCCGGAATAGATTGTAAAGCCTTACGCTTGGCATCACGAGCTCCTCGAGCGGTCTTGAATGCAGCATCCGAAAATGGGTTGATTTTGACGTCGAAATCGTTCAAATACTTTTCTTGAAGTAATTTGGCAGTCTGATTCCACATTGTTTTTATTGTACCTTCCTTATAGTCTTCTCCATCCATTTTCTTCATATTGTAAGCGTAATCTTTCATAATGTTTGCCAATTGCGCTTCACTCGTTTCAGCACTCAATGTGTATTCCCTCTCAGTACAAAAAGTAGTAAATTGGTTCCAAACTGTTTCTTTTGACTTCTCCGTATTAATGGGAACATTTCCTTTGACTTTTTTATCGATGGTGGACAGAGAACAAACTCCAAATCGACTCATTTTCATGCAAAATCTCCAATTTTCACAATTGAATTCAACCTGTCAGTTTGACGTGTGGTTAATTTGACTTTTTTATATATAGCAACTACCAGAGAAAATTTTCAAAAAATTATCGCTGTAATTCGCTGTAGGTTCCCTCAACAACAATGCCTCAACAATGTCCCAACAATACAGAGAACTGTCAAAAAAAATAATCAGAAAAATTTGACATTTTTTTCATTTTATTCCAGGGGTAATACAAAAGTCAATTTTTCTGAAAATTTACAAATTTTTACGGATACTATTAATACAAATTTGTACACTGATATCGAGAAAAAAGTGAATTTCCGACGCTGAATATAATATAATATAATTATTTCTTATTTAAATACACCCACAGGCAAAATAATCGATCCACACAAATTTTCGATGAATTTCAATCGCAAATAAATTTTTTATTTGATTTCGGATTTAAACAAATATTAAATAATATTGTAGATAAATTAATGGACAATCGCTCACATTTAAAAAAAATACTAAAAAATGGACGTACGCAGGGCCGAGCCTAGGGTATCTGCCGCCCGGGTGCAAGAATTAAATTTGCCGCCCCCATTAATGTAAAAAATTAGGTTGTCGGTAGGGAAAGGAGTTCATAATTTATCATTCTCAATAAACATATAACAAATTTTATAGTAAAATAACAAAGTATTTATTAACAAATACATAAAAGAATAAAATAAAAATACATTCAGGAAAAAAAAACAAAAATAATTAAACTAAACTAAAATCTATTTTTCTCGCTTTTTTAATAGCAAATTCCCTAATCAAGTCGCCTACATCCAAGTTGTTAGAAATATCTTATTCAATACTTATAATTGCTAAATTTAAAAGCCTGAATTGACTCTTATTGGATCTTAAATAGGTCTTAATTAGTTATAATTTCGAAAATGACCGCTCTCCATGGGCAACAGTAACTGGCATCGTCAAAAATATTCTTAAAGCTACAAATAAATTCGGAAAGATGCCTTTTAAATCATTAACTAGTTTTTAACTTAAACGCATTAAAAGACAAAAGAAACTACTATGTTTGCATCTTATTTGCCTCACGTTAATAGAAAAACTAAAAATTGCTGAAATACGCAGCCGTCAAATCGAAAGAAATTATGCTTTAACTTAACAGTTCTGCTTGTAAACCATATCACGTGGTACACAGCGCGCGATTTGATTGGTTTCCCGTAAGCCCGCTTCCGTAAAACATGAAACTTGACGAACTCGAAGCGGACGGACGTAAAGCGAAGCGGGCGGGCGGCAATCTATAAACCGGGCTTTAAGAAAATTGTCATCATCATTTTTTGTGGCTATCGCGCGTTCGGTTATGTCTTTTTTATCATTGCCGCCTGACAGCACAATTTTGGCATTGTTTTTGTGTGTAGAATAAAAACGATGATTCCTCAATTGAAACGCCGACATCAATAAAACGAAAGTGATTTTTAGAAAGTTTTTTGCATATTGCAAGGTGGCTTTTTTATTTTGATGATATTTTGCCGCCCTGTGTTAGTGCCGCCCGGGTGCCATGCACCCCTTGCACCCCCGGCACGGCTCGGCCCTGGACGTACGTTTATAATATACAGGTTTAAACAAAAATATGTTTTTTACCATAAGTTTAAGAAACTCTGTAGAGTGGCAAAACCGTATATTGTTCTAAATTAAGTATTATTTATCAAGTCACATCTATTCTTAACAGTTTTGTTTTTGGTTCACCTCGATATATTAATTTTTGTGGAAAATATGGAATTTTTAAAAAAACATTGCAATTACCAATATTTTTCTGTATGATGTATAAGGTTGCTATGGTCCATCCATAGGCTATGGAGAATGACAATGACAGTTTTGTTGAATCATCCCATACTTGGACATGTCATACACAGCTTTCAAAAGCTATCAAATTGTTTTTTGCAAATTAATGTTTAAATTTTGAGGTGTCTTCTTACTTTAAAAAATGGATATGTCTCCGACTGATGTTGCCAGAGCCATCCAGGATGGACGGTCACAGTATTACGTGGCAAGTGTTTTAAACGTCACAAGAAGTAAAGTACAAAGGGCAACATCAGTCGGAGACATTTTTAAAAGTAAGAAGACACCTTAAAATTAACACGTTACAAAAAACAATTTGATAGCTTTGGAAAGCTGTATATGACATGTCCAGTATGGGATGATTCAACAAAACTGTCACTGTCATCCTCCATAGGCTATGGATGGACCATAGCAACCTTAGTTCTTCATACAGGAAAATTATTGGAAATTGTAATGTTTTTTAAAAAAATCCATATTTTCCACAAAAATAAATATATCAAGGTGAACCAAAAACAAAACTGTTAAAAATAGTTGTGACTTGATAATTAAAACTTAATTTAGAATAATATACGGTTTTGCCACTCTACAGAGTGTCTTAAACTTATGGTAAAAAACATATTTTGGTTTAAACCTAAGACCTCTTTCTTTGTCTTAGGTTTAAACCTATATATTATAAACGTCCATTTTTTAGTAATTTTTTAAAATGTGAGCGATTGTCCATTAATTTATCTACAATATTATTTAATATTTGTTTAAATCCGAAATCAAATAAAAAGTTATTTGCGATTGAAATTCATCGAAAATTTGTGTGGATCGATTATTTTGCCTGTGAGTGTAGTAAGAATATTCTACCGGGTCGCAAAAAAACATATTCGGTGCTGTATTAAAATAACTAACACTTCGATTTTTAAAATTATATTTTTATAATTTAACTTTATAAATCATTCATTATTTTGTAATTGGATATTTTTAATGGACTAATACCCCACCAACAGTATATTTAACGTTTACGTTTATTTTCTTAATGAATTTAATTCCATGTTTAGTTTTTTGTTTTTTTTTAATTAAAATAATGTTAATTTTTTTATTGCAACTTTTTATCAAACGTGTATATTTCCAAAAAAACAAACAATTTTTCCCAAAATAGGCAATTTTTGCAAGGCCTGGAAAAAAACTAAAAAAAAACAGGTTTTTCCCCAATTGTTTCGTTTTTTTTTCGACACTTTAAAACCCTGACGTCACTTCAGTCGCCTTCTAAAACTTTACCCTCTATGCAGCAAAAAAAGCATAACTTCAAAAATCAATTTTAAAACCTTATGACTGAAAATCAAGTCAAACTTTTGTATTGTATTGTATGTATGCTTTTATGCCTTTTGCGGGACACCCTGTATATGTTATGCTTTTTTAAACATTTGAAGATAATTCTTTTAAAAGTTTTTTAATTATAAACATTTCCAGGATTACTTTTAAGACAAGCCAGTGAAGAAGAAACATTAAACTCTTACGACCTAATAATCTTAGATGAAGTCCATGAGAGACACTTGCACGGCGATTTTCTCATAGGCATAATGAAATGTCTACTGAGCCGCAGAAATGACGTAAAACTGATTTTGATGTCGGCCACCATTAACTTAAAATTATTCAGCAGCTATTTCAAAGATGAAGACGTGAAGGTCATTCAAGTACCTGGCAGATTGTATCCCATCGAAATTCACTACAAACCTATCGTAAAAGATCCGTACGAACGTAAAAGAGACAGGTTCGATTGCCAGCCTTACATGCAGATCATACAAATGATAGACGAGAAATACGAACCGCACCAAAAGGGCGACTTGTTGATATTTTTGAACGGTTATTCGGAAATATCAACGTTGGCCGAAGCGGTGAGAGAATACGCGGAGAACAAACAGAACTGGATCGTGTTGGAATTGCACAGCAGTCTTTCTTTGGAAGAGCAGGACAAAGTTTTCGATTATCCACCGGCTGGGGTTCGTAAGTGCATCGTTTCGACGAACATCGCCGAAACTTCGGTCACCATCGACGGGATTCGGTTCGTGATCGACTCCGGCAAGGTTAACCGAATGATGTATCACACCAATGGGGGAGTCAATAAGCTAAGCGAGACCAATATATCGCAAGATAGTGCCAAACAACGGTCTGGACGAGCTGGTAAGTTATATGATTACCAGGGTGATTAAAAAAAAGCGTATTGTTGTCTTGCAAACAGGCTTAAAAGTTTCGTTTAGGTATAAAAATAGGCCTGTGAAAATATGAGCTCTTAATTTTAATATTAAAATGCTCCGCATCGCACTTTTCGATTTTTCATAAGAATAACATGGGAAAATTTTGTTTTTATAACTCACCAACAAAAGGTCATACAGAAAATGTGTTCGAAATTTTTGTAAAGAATTGAATGCTCTACAAAAAAGGTTTAAACCTTTTTTGTAGAGCATTCAATTCTTTACAAAAATTTCTTTAATAAATAAGAATTCTTATTTATTAAAGAGATCAAAGTTCAACTCACCATCAATTTTGCCGATTTTTCGGTATTGCAGCGAAACTATTCAGTTTAATTAAAAAATTGAGCACGAAATATCATGCGAAACATAAATTTGACATTACAAGAGTCTTTAACCAATTTTTTTTCATTTACAAATGTAAACAACACACTTTACTAAAATAATAAATATCATAATAGTTTTTTTTTTATTTCATTTTTATTATGAAAACATTTAACTTTACTGCCTGAAATTTCAGTATTTGATAACTCAATATGCCACCAAAATTTTGTATTAATTGATTTTCAATATAAGTTGAGCAATTTTTTTTATATTATTTTACCGATAAAAATATTTGTTTATCTACTTCTATTGCATAATATTGGGTATTTTTCCTTGAATAATGAGTGAAATTATGAATTCCCTGCCCAACAAAGTGAATAATGAACTCATTATTCACGTTGTTAGGCATCATGATGCTGCAGTGATTGGCAGATTTCAATATTCACTGTGATTAGAATCAATCGGGTTATAAATTGGAAGAAGGCGACTATAATTACATTTAAAATTGGTAAAAAGAAAGTTTAATTATTTGATGTCAGATTTTACTTATTTATTTTTTAAAATCATTTAAACTACTTATTGGAGTAGTTAAAGTATAGTATTACACTCGAGATTATGCGCATTATCTCTCGTATAATAATATACTATTTTACACTCACTTGGTAACACAATGTTTTTGTCACTAGATGGCGTTATGGCTTGTTTATTACATATACTTACCACAGTATATAAAGTATATGGTTTATAATGGCATTAACCTTATTCCCTACTCTGCAATCTATATCCTATATTTGGTACAATTTATAGGTCCGGTTTATAATCAAGTTCAAAAATTGAAGATTTCGATAATTCAGCATAGCTGCATTACTTACGTCTGTCATGAAATATACGAAACGTATAAAAAAACTATAAAAAACAAATTTTATGTTTATTTAAAATAAAAATAATTAAAAACAATATATAAACTATTATTTTCAGTTCAAGGAAAGGAATTTGTTTTTTGAATTACTTACTTAATTCTATTTTCAGAAATATTTTATACGATTAAGGAAACTTTTCCACCAGGCTAAATAGTTTAATATCCATGCTTGTGCTTTTGTAATTAAAATCTAAATACGCACAGAACATAAATATGTAAAATTTACATCTTCAATTTTTAAACTTATATATGTCGGCGCCTTTATTAATTATTGGTCTACGCTTGTGATTCTTTTACACCCTTTAATATTTTTGTAACGATGTTTAGGCTAAAAAAAGTCCCACGCATGTGGAGAATGTCATTAGGTGTTTATTACTAAGTTTTACGATACATTTATTTTAGTTGATATGATTTATGTGAATTTGTCTAGACAAATTAGTTATAGTTCTTTAAGACGTAGAAAATATGTTAGGAGGGGTGAAATGTTTTTTTAAGGGAAACCGCTTGGCGATAAGCTGAGCGAACGAAACGAGCCCAGAGACATTTTGAGTTCGATTGAGACAAGTCGAATCTCTAAATTGATTTTTGATTGACTATTGTTGGTCTAGCGGGTCGCGGATCGTTAGTTTCCTTTTTATAGCTAATAATTAGTTTGGGACGATTATTATTAATTTTGTGTTCTGTGCAGATTAATCTGACTACGTGTTTCAGTAAATAACTTTATATTAAAAACCAGTGTCGTGCATTCTTTTAAAATGTCTAGGCAGCCTAACCCTCAGTCGCCCTCGTTAATCTCTGACATCAGAAGTGCGGATCAAGGCTGCCAGTGCAATATTCGGACAGTGAAAGTGACGAAAATAACGCAGTTTGTGAAGTGACGAGTGATGACCCTACCCTCGAAGTAAAAGACTTGAACAGATAATGCTGCCGACCTCAAGTCTGCCAACAGCAGTGGAGTAAATTAAAAGCAGAGTTCTTAGCAGTCTTTGCAAAATTATTCGATTCTTTGGAAGCTTTTTCTGAGGCAATTAATGGCAAGAAAAAATAATTCATGACGTGGCATTAATTGACGAAATGCTATTTTCGATGAGAAACATTTTAACAAAAAAAATAAAAAATAGAGAAAGCGACGAATCGTTTGCTGTAATGGTAACTGATAAACCAGTTGATGCAAAAAGTATGTGCACCATGTTACAAGGGCGTCTAGGCAAACGTTAGGCCCTATTTCCCTCTAGTCATCATACTGGATCGAAGCGCCAACCTTTGTCTCTGTCCTTTAAAAATAAAAGTTTCCATAAACGTCCTGAAAATTGTTTTACGTGCGAAAAGGCGGGACACAAGGCTGCTGATTGCAAAACCCAACTGCAAGTGTCTATTTCCAAAGAAAGAAGAATGACGGAGAGGTTACTTGTTTTAAGTGTGGCAAGTTAGGACATATTTCTCCGGAATGTCCATCTTCAGGCGGCAAATGAAGAATTGAAGAAAAAAAAGTATCAATGTCCTTGCCCGTAGGTCATTTGAAGATTAGATCTGGTGAGACCTTTCCTTTTTTTTATTTTGACACAGGTTCAGACTGTTCTCTTTTGAAAGAACATATTGCATCTAAATTTAATGGTAAACGTTTAAGCAATTTAACTACTTTACAGTGTGTTAGTAATCGCTCTTCACTATGTAGTAATCAAATTATAATTGTGATTGAGATTGAGAAAATAATAATTGAGAATTTATTTTTCTTGGTACCGGACGATTTTATCTCGCCCAATATTATTATAAAACTAAATGTGTTTATTATTATTATGGGAAATGATTTAATTAAATTAAATATTGCTGTTCGTTTGGACTCTTTCAGTCGTGAATTAAATATTCAAGTTGCGAAACAGAAAACACGAATTTTCATAACATTCTTACGGATTTGTACAAAAATCACCCTGTCGCATATTTTAGTAAACGAACATCTGGCCCTGAGTCTAGATACCACTTTTACGAACTCGAAACATTAGCCGTTGTTAATGCTGTCAAGCACTTTCAATACTTATTAGAAAATTATTTTAATGTTTTTACGGACTGTATTTCTCTTAAGTCTTTACGTACAAAACATGATCTTACGCCTCGTGCACATCGCTGGCGGGCATTTTTACAAATTTTGACTTTGATAATGTTTATCGTGAAGGAAAACGAATGAAACATGATAATTTCTTGTCTCGAAATCATAGTACTCCTAATTTAAATACAAGGTTCAAAATTCGAGTGTACCGAAAGATAAAAATTCTAAACCCCTTAACGTTATTCAAAATATCGAATTACAAAAAGACTGGCTGCTAGTAGCTCAACAACGCGATGACAGCCTTTTAAAACTTATTGCCGATCTGAAGTGCAACGACCTCGACCCTAATATTGCAAAAATAAAAACATATGATATTCTAAACAATATGCTGTTCCGAAAAATAGAGATAGATAATTGTTCACTTTGTTTACCTGTAGTACCCAAGTCAATGGTTTGGCCCGTAATAAATCATGTTCACACTAATTTAAAACATTTGGGGTGCAAGAAAAATTTAGATAAAGATTTATTTATTTTGTATTTAGTAAAGTAAACTAAAAAAATGATTTCCAAATTGGATCGTAAATTTCGAGCTCCATTTAATATTTTTTATTTTTATTTATTTCGTATTTAGTAAAATAAATGAAAGAATTAATGAAATTAGATCGTAAATTTCGAGGTAGATTTAAAATCACTAAGATTTTAGAAAATGATCGTTATGAAGTTATTAAACCTAACGATAAGGTAAAGTTAGTGTTTTTAAATTTGTGCATGATCAGCTTATTAATGTAGGTACCTGAGGGGCAAGGTTAAGTCTTAAGTAAGTCAGAATCTGAAAATGAAATGGCTGTGTCGGCGAGTATTACAATAGAGAAATAGGTAATATCCTGCTAAAGGGAATCCACTCATTCCTGACAAACTGAGTAATAATGCTTTCTTTTAATTTTTTTATTTTTTTTTATTAATTAATAGCAGTTATCTGATTGAACATTGCAGTAGAGTCCTAGTAAAAGAGTTACTAGAAGAGGCATGTGGCCTAGTTTAGAGTCCTAGTAAAAGAGTTACTAGAAGAGGCATGTGGCCTAGTTTAGAGTCCTAGTAAAAGAGTTACTAGAAGAGGCATGTGGCCTAGTTTAGAGTCCTAGTAAAAGAGTTACTAGAAGAGGCATGTGGCCTAGTTTAGAGTCCTAGTAAAAGAGTTACTAGAAGAGGCATGTGGCCTAGTTTAGTTGACTAGTAAAAGAGTTACTAGAGGAGGCATGTGGCCTAGTTTAGAGTCCTAGTAAAAGAGTTACTAGAAGAGGCATGTGGCCTAGTTTAGTTGACTAGTAAGAAGAGTCTTACTGAGTTGTTGTGGTTTACATAATGGTAAACAGTTTGCTACTGAATGGGGTGTGGAAGCACCAAACTGCAATGTTCTTGATGGTTTATGATTTTTAGCTTGGTTACCAGATGATATTACTATTGCAAGTTGCAAAGTATATCGGCTTCGGTTTCCTCCTAAAAAAGTTTATTTTTTATTGATTAATCATATTGATAATAACAATATCGCGTTGTATTGCATTATTCTTTGTTAGTCAGGATGGACGAGCGGATGTAGCGACAATGTAGGCTTAGGCTTTAGGCTTTTGCGTTCCAGATGACCATTGAGTGCCCGAGGACGTGCACTAGTCAGAATGGCCGTGTCGGCGCCTTTATTAATTATTGGTCTACGCTTGTGATTCTTTTACACCCTTTAATATTTTTGTAACGATGTTTAGGCTAAAAAAAGTCCCACGCATGTGGAGAATGTCATTAGGTGTTTATTACTAAGTTTTACGATACATTTATTTTAGTTGATATGATTTATGTGAATTTGTCTAGACAAATTAGTTATAGTTCTTTAAGACGTAGAAAATATGTTAGGAGGGGTGAAATGTTTTTTTAAGGGAAACCGCTTGGCGATAAGCTGAGCGAACGAAACGAGCCCAGAGACATTTTGAGTTCGATTGAGACAAGTCGAATCTCTAAATTGATTTTTGATTGACTATTGTTGGTCTAGCGGGTCGCGGATCGTTAGTTTCCTTTTTATAGCTAATAATTAGTTTGGGACGATTATTATTAATTTTGTGTTCTGTGCAGATTAATCTGACTACGTGTTTCAGTAAATAACTTTATATTAAAAACCAGTGTCGTGCATTCTTTTAAAATGTCTAGGCAGCCTAACCCTCAGTCGCCCTCGTTAATCTCTGACATATATATTATAAATCGGACCTATAAATTGTACAGAATATAGAATACAGATTGCAGAGTAGAGAATAAGGTTAATACCATTATAAACCAGCCATTACACCATCTAGTGATACAAAAATTGTGTTACCAACTGAGTGTAAAAACAAACAGTTTTATCGATAAAATAATTAAAAAAAAATTTTGGTGGCATATCGAGTTATCAAATACTGAAATTTCAGGCAGCAAAGTTTCCAATTTCATAATAACCATGAAATTGAAAAAAATTATTATGATATTATTGTAACGGGTGCGACACTAAAACTGCGTTTTCTCACGATAATAAATTGTTTGTTCATATATATCAAGATACGTTAATATAAAAAAATAGTATGAAAAATTAGGTATTTAACTCAAACAAAATGTCAATAAAAACTTGTAAAGAAAACCTTTTATAACGTCATGAATAGCGTAACGGGCGCGACCTTAAAAAATCAGCAAATGCGACCAAGTAGGCTTCTTAAGTTGATACTGTAAAATTTTGGATGAAAGCATATAGAAATAATTTTTTAAGTAAAACTTGAATAGTAACCTTAAACAAGCACGTATTTTAAATGCACAAAAATTGCATACTTTATTTTTTAAATTAACGGGTGCACCATTTGAACATTTTATCGAGTATTGAAACTCTTCCGTGTTTATTCTTAATGTTAAGACATCTGATTTTTTGTCAACGTGGGGTAAGGTTTCGTGGAAATGCCCAGTAGTGGTGTTTACATTTGGACGGCTTTCTCCAGAATGGGACCAACCCACACCATGATGAAACTGAGAAAAAAGCTATCAAAGATTTTAATAATTTTAAAATTACCTGTTAATTTTATGCCGATTTTGGACTTACGGAGGTTTAAGGGATATAATTTAATAATTTCATCAGGTGGATTTTGTGATGTTATGTACATATGTATAAGGGTGACGAAAAAAATGGGCTTTTGTTGGTTGGTTCCTTTCTGCAATTTATGAAAACTACTATCTGATGTATGTATGTATTTAAAGAAAAGCGACAATTATTTATTTCCAAACAAAATACAACTGATATTACTATTATAATGGTAATATGAATTAATTTTGATTCTATTTGAAATTCGTCCACATCATTTTCCAACTACACCTCATCTTGTAAGCTACCAAAAAAATGCATCAAGACTTTATATTTTGCAGAAGCAGGAAATCTTTAAAGACTTTGGTAGTGGGTCTACCAGCCTGCTTTTTTACAAAAAAGATCCAACCCACTTGCAGATATTCTACAAATTCTAATTCTGGATTAGTAATCCACACTATTATTGAATGTTGGTTGGTTCAATGATTAATAGATTTCACTACACTTGCATTTTGGCTATGACCTATTTTGCAGATAAATTATACATACTTAATTAGTTCATAGGCTAAATATCTCGATTTTTTTTGGTTTTGTGGGTTGGTTCCTTTCTGCAGAAAGGCGTCCATTTGTAAATGAAAAAAATATCGGTTAACAACTCTTGTAATGTCAAATTTATGTTCCGCAATTTTTTGATAAAACAGTAGTTTTTCTGCAATACCGAAAAATCGGCAAAATTGAGGGTTGAACTTTTATCTTTAATAAGTTTTTAACCAATTCGTTTAGCAAAAAATCATAAGAAACCTTTTTTGTAGAGCATTCAATTATCTACAAAAAGATCGAACACATTTTCTGTATGACCTTTGGTTCACTGTAATGATTTCTTATTTCAACATATTCCCACTTTTTGACGTTTTCCATGTTTTGAAGTTAATGCAATTGCACAATTAAAAATATTTTTTAGGACGTACTGGACCAGGCATTGGCTTTCGAATGTACTCCGAAGAAGACCTAAGCAAATTCGAAGCATTCACGCCGGCAGAAATCCACCTGGTGCCCTTGGAATCTCTGATACTGCAGATGATATCCCTCGGATTAAGCGACATCGCTCAATTTCCTTTCATCGAAAAACCGAGCTCGAGCAGCATCGAGGAAAGCTTGGAGAAGTTGAAATTCAGCGGCGCCTTGTCCTTGGAGCAGGACTGCTTGGCGCTGACGCCGCTAGGCGACGCTCTGAGCCAACTGCCCGTGGATCTGACGATCGGGAAGATGCTGATCACGTCGACGGTGTTCGGGAACGTGAATTCCGTGCTGGCCGTGGCGTCTTTGTTGAGCGTGCAAAGCCCGCTCACGCAAAACGCGTACAAATCCACCGAGGGTCGGGATATAAGAAGGCCCATGGATTCCGACCACGGCGATCCCATTTCCTTATTGAATTACTACAAGGAATGGTTGAGTGTAAAGTACAGCAGTGCACCCGTGCAAGGAGGTTCGAGGACGCAAGAAAATTCGCGCACGTGGGCCAGAAAACGGTGTCTAGAGGAACAGAGGTTCTACGAGTGCACAAAACTGATAGAGCAGTTCAGGGACACGCTGTGCGAAGCCAAGTTGCTGCCCAAAATCGAAGACGCGCACCTGACGAGCTCGGATAGATCGATGAGACACGGCGAGTTGAAGAAATTAAAACACATGCGGTACAACTTAAAGAACGAGAACCAATCGAGGCAGAAAAAACAGTTAAAACATCGCAGATGCGACGATGAAGACGAACAAGACAACAAAACAGATTTGAGAGACGTCGAATTTAGAATAACAAACGATTTCAAGAGGTTGGAAAAACTGCTTAACGAATCCTCCGCGGACAGTTATAGAGACGTGGTGATGTTGAAATTAATCTTGACGAACGGACTTTACCCTCAAATAGCTCTGCAAGACGAATTCAACTCGAGCAAATCGGTGTCGGAGAAACTGTACCACACCAAAAACAAAAACTTTATATTCCTGCGGCCGATGTCGTACTTCGCGAACAACCCCGATTGCTTGGAACTTCATAACGACGACATCGAAGTTCCGCCGCCCGGGTATTTCAGCAAAAGACCGATAAGCCGGAAGCACCAACTTCTCGTCTATCAGTCAATACTGGAGACCAAAAAGGTGTATTTGGTGAACACGATGCGCATGCGAGCGATGCAAACTTTAATGTTGTTCGCGAAAACCGTGGCGACTAATTTGTCGCTGACAAAGTTCGTTTTCGACGACTTCATATCGGTCGACGCGCCTTACTACGGCCAGGGTAAAACGTTATTAACGCGCGCTATCAAGTTGCGAAACATGTGGACCAAGGAGTTGGAATCGAAATTAAAAGACGCGCAAAACGTGCGCGAAGACAAACATAAGATATACGACTTTATTGAGGAACTGGTGCGGTTCTTTCAAAGCGAAGTTAGCTACAACGTCAAAAGACTTCTACCGGCCGACCTGAAGACGATCTACACCGAATCGCCGGACTACTACGACAACATACTGAAAACAAACAATGTCGCCGGTAAGAACCCTTTCGATCGCGACTACGAAATAAAAATAAACGGATCGTATGGCGGTTTCAACGTTACCAAAAACGTCGTGTACGGCTGCCTAATCGAGGAAGAATGGAGTGCGAACGTTGAAGAATCCGTTTTGGAGGAAGAACACGAATGCATCCACTGTAAAATGCCGCTTTTAGGCCGCGGCACATTCGAAACGTTACAGCACGAATCTTTCTGTCGGCCGAATATCAAAGTTGAAAACATCGACGAGGAAGTAACGCAACCCACGATAAAACCCAACTCCAAACAATTTACTTGCGAAATGTGCGGGAAAGAATTGTTTTTAACCCCGGTAGACATCCTTAGGCATAAGAAAAATTGTAAATAAATAATTTTATCTCCACGCGGTCTATAATTTAAACTTTATTGTTGTCAACATTCGGTAAAGAAATACCTTGTTATGGCCTAGGCCGATAAAAAATTTTATGAGGCAAGTAATTAGTTCGATTTTTTCTCGCTAGGGGTATTGTTTTGACAAATTAATCCTTTTCTAAGAAATTTACGTACTAAACTGGTTTAATTTATTTATAATAAGCACTAATTTTTTTGTTTTACTGTTAATGTTTAATATTTTTCATTAAATTATTGTAAAATTAAATATGAATAATAAAACAAAAAGTGAAGTTAGGCAACCAAGAAAACGCACGATTCTTTTTCTACGATTTAAATTATCTTTAAGTTTTAATTTGCTTTAAGTTTTTAGTGAAATTAAATGGTAAACACAGCTTAAACATTCCAAACTACCTATTTTTTAAATAAAAATCCAAACAAATTGAAATTAGATACCTACCTATTTATTAAACAATTAATTGAATTCAATGTAATAGCAAAAATCCATTTCTACTTAAATCATGTAGCTAGGTATTGTCAAACTATTACTGCTTCTAAAAGCAATAATAATTATTGTACATTTAATGTAATCTTTAGCTAATAAATAAATGAGATTCTAAAAAAGTGAGGTTAGGCTGCTTTGATGTTGAATTAAAACCTATATAAAGTGCTTTAAAGATAAAATGTTGTATGCCATTCGGCCAAGAAGTGCCTTTTTGTGTTTCGCTGTGTGCTACGCGTCGGCCTTCAAACCTTGAGCTTAGCACAAAAAGCCTTACTTCTTAATCTAATGGCATAAATAACTATTATCTCCACGCGGTCTATAATTTAAACTTTATTGTTGTCAACATTCGATAAAGAAATACCTTGTTATGGCCTAGGCCGATAAAAATTTTATTAGGCCAGTAATTAGTTCGATTTTTTTTCGCTAGGGGTATTGTTTTGACAAATTAATCCTTTTCTAAGAAATTAACGTACTAAACTGGTTTAATTTATTTATAATAAGCACTAATTTGTTTGTTGTACTGTTAATGTTTAATATTTTTCATTAAATTATTGTAAAATTAAATATAAATAATAAAACAAAAAGTGAGGTTAGGCAACCAAGAAAACGCACGATTCTTTTTCTACAATTTAAATTATCATTAAGTTTTAATTTGCTTTAAGTTTTCAGTGTTATTAAATATTAAACACAGCTGAAACATTCCAAACTACCTATTTTTTAAATAAAAATCCAAACAAATTAAAATTAGATACCTACCTATTTATTAAACAATTAATTGAATTCAATGTAATAGCAAAAATCCATTTCTACTTAAATCATGTAGCTAGGTATTGTCAAACTATTACTGCTTCTAAAAGCAATAATAATTATTGTACATTTAATGTAATCTTTAGCTAATAAATAAATGAGATTCTAAAAAAGTGAGGTTAGGCCGCTTTGATGTTGAATTAAATTGACCTATATAAAGTGCTTTGCCATTTGGCCAAGAAGTGCCTTTTTGTGCTTCGCTCAATTGTTCAAACCTTGAGCTTAGCACAAAAAGCCTTACTTCTTAACCTAATGACATAAATAACTATTATGGTAATACAAATAATAAGTTTTACTCACCTGTGCTGCAATGGTGGCTCTACACATCTCCTCCCGATCGCCTTCGTTTAGAGGCTGTCCGTTTTGGTCCAGTCTCGGACTGGCTTGTAAGTGCTGCGTCAATTGACTTCTGGATGATGCCAAACTTGCACGCAGTACGCGCAGCACTATGGAGTAGATTGGTGCGCATCTAAATACTCTTTCATCGCAACGCATAATCTTAAAATAACAGGTTAATTTTAAGTTTTCTCTTGTTTATACAGAGTGTCCCGAAAATGGCGAACTAATGGTATGCTACACTGTAGGGGGGTTACTTTTAAGTAAAGCCCTGAATATATGCAACATAAAATGCATGGAGCCTACATAAGAAGTGCGAACTTCATGTATACAAAAATCTTCCTATAGGAATATAAGATAAGAGGGCGCTGGTGTTCCGTTTATTGATAAACAATTGTTTGATTTGTACCGAAACGCTACCAAACAGCCATGGAGCCTACACAAGGAGTCCGAACTGCATGTAAACAAGAATCTTCCTAAGTAAAGTAGGCGCTGGTGTCCCGTTTATTCTGAAACAATTGACTAATTTATACCGAAACGCTACCAAAAGAGCAGACGTCAGGACGCATCAACAATCAGCGCCGCTGACTTAATTTGGGCAATTTAGAGGGCAGGTTTTGTCAATTTTCCCTATTAAGTTCGGGCTCCTTTTGTAGGCTCCATGAAAAAATGCTTGAAATAGCAATATTTTTCCCGCAACTCGAATATACAGGGTCACCAAGTCCCCTTCTATGTGTGTGCTACAGTAGCATTGCTACTATGGGTATTTTTTTATTTGGTAGGTTAAATAGAGAAAAGTTACTTAATTACAAGCCTATTAAAAAGAAATTTATAAATTGAAAAAAGGCCAGCGGTTTATAAATAATTTGAAAAAAACTAAAAAATCGTTATAACTACGTTATTCCTGGGAATTTCAAGAAAAAAAGTAAGTTTTACATGTCCACACACAATAATTTTAATTTTTTTATAATTTTCTGCCACTATATTTTGAGTTACCCTCACCATCTTTTGTTTTTATAATGGCCGCCATAACCTTTATGATAAGGGTTATAAAGTGTCGAAAAAAAAACAGAAAAATTGGGGAAAAAACCTTAAAAAGGCCTTAAAAATTATAATTTTATTAATCGAAGTGTCAAATAAAGTTATGTTAATACAGCACCGAATGTTTTTTGCGGCCCGGTAGAATATAATTACTGAATTAAAATAAAAGTAATAATTATAATCATATGAATATAATCAGCGTAGGAAATTTACTTTTTTCTCGATATCAGTGTACGGATATTATTCGTAAAAATTAGTAAATTTTTAGAAAAATTGTCATGAGCCTTTGAATAAAATTTTAAAAATTAAAGTCAATTTTTCTGAAAATTTTCCAATTTTTCCGTTTTTTCTGAAAAAAAATTTTAAAACCCTAACTTTTATACATCGTTGAATATCTTAATTTTTTTTCTATTTAACCCTGTAAAATTACAATATAGCGGTCACAGGAAAAACAAAAGACAGTTTTACACAACCCACAAGTTATAAAATAACAAACTGTCAATAAATGCATCTGTCAACCTTGCTAATTTCAGATCTCAGCATTATTTTAATATTATTTTTAACTCAAAAAAATACTTGTCAAAATTTTTTGTTATAATTAAAATATACTCCTCTACAGTGTGGCATACCGATTTGGGGCACGGTATATTAAAAAAGGTAAAGAATATATATAAAAAATTAAGAAATATTTAGTTTAGTAATTAAAACGTTAACATTCATTCTCAAATTAAACTACAAGAAATTTTAGGAAAATCCTAATTTTTTATAAGAACAATAAAGCCATAAAATATTGCAAAAAAATCCAGTAAGTTAAATTATTACCTGCAAGGGATCTTCAGCCACATCAATACGCGTCATGATGGAAAAATCGTCGACCAAATTTTTAACCGTCAACACCCATAACCTTCTGGGCAACACTGTGTTCAGTCTAAGCCAAACGTCTTTGTACAAATCTTGCAAATATCTGGGCACGTCATCACCCAACAGCCGCTTGGCATAGAAAGTCAAAGTTTCCGCTTGAGGCCACACATCGATGGCCTCTTGTTCGAGCAAAGTGCGCAGAACGTTCGCGCATCGAGAGGGGTTCGTTTCCAGGGAGTTCATAGCTTCCACCAGGGCTAATTCGCCAATGTGACGCTTCGAACGATAAGAACTGAAATCATATTTTAATATAGTGACCATTCATCGCCCATTCGGGGGAGTTATTCCCCGCTGAAAAATATATTCCCCGATACCTAAATATATGTTCCCATAATATCAACTAAAAATGCTTGTTCATGCCCGCCATCTGATAAGAGAAAACTACGGAATATAAACTGCGCACCACTCAATGTGTCGCGACCAAAAAGTTAGTCCTTTTTCAAAACGACATAACTTTTTTGTTTTTTGAACGATTATATTTTGGTCTGTGATTTCTGCTAGCCCCATCCTCTGGCTATTCATGCTATAGATATGAAACTCACGGTTCTTCAAGTAAATTTCGTACAGGGTGATATGTAGAACGGTCAAAAATTTCAATAACTTCATCCAAGCCCCGTTTGTAAAAAAAAATAATTTTTTTCTCGTTTTTACTTTGAAATAATGAAGTATTATGTCTTACCTTGAAAAGGTTTTCAAATTTTTCGTATTGGAATCTTAGCAAAGAAAATATGATTTTTTTTAAAAGAGTACATTTAAGGCTTTTTGGTAGGCAATACACTCAGTGTTAAGAACAAGGAGATAAGATGGTGAAAGATTGTTCCTTAAATAATTCTGAACAAGCGACAAGCAACAAACTTCCATTATTTTCAGAGGGGCCTAAGCAAAGGCAACTTTTTTAAAATGATATTTTGGTGAAAATTTGCGAAAACCAATTCTGAACCGATATTTACGTTCGTAACATGTTTTCTTTATAATTTTGACCTCCTGCTTGTGATTCAGTTGTCAAAGTTTCAGATAAAACCAAAATCACTAAGAATCAAAATTCGAAAACAATTCCCGACTGTTAAATTGCCTACAAAAAAGCCTTAAGGCTTAATTAATTGTACTCTTTTAAAAAAAAATCATATTTTCGTTGCTACGATTCCAATTCGAAAAATTTGAAAATTGTTTCAAGGTAAGACATAATACTTCATTATTTCAAAGTAAAGACGAGAAAAAAATTATTTTTTTACAAACGGGGCTTGGATGAAGTTATTGAAAATTTTCACCGTTTAACATATCACCCTGTAGGAAATTTACTTGAAGAACCTTGACCTTCATATCTATATCATGAATTGCCAGAGGATGGGGCTAGGAGACATCACAGACCAAAATAAAATCGTTCAAGAAACAAAAAAGTTATGTCGTTTTGAAAAAGAACGAACTTTTTGGTCGCGACACATTGAGTGGTGCGCAGTTTAGATAAAATCATTTAAACGATTACGAAAAATTTCGTAAAGCAAAAACTTATTCTGATCCGAAGGTTTTTTTATTTTCACATACAAAGCCGTAAACCTTGCTGGACTGTTTTTGATAAGCCACCATGTATATATTTATTCTTTAAATCTGTTCTGTACATTAAAGTGAGTCGAATATCCGCTTTAAACGAAATTAATTTGGTAATAGCAAATATCATGTGTAAGGGAAAAAATTAAAAGTAAAAAAATATTTTTTAAATTAAGTTTGTTGGAAAAATTAAATGTTTAAAAAAACATTCTTTTTAATTATCGCATAAATATTATAGAGATAATTGCGATTTCAGTTATAAAAATGGAAATTTTAAGATAAAATGGCAATTTTCTAAATTATCTCTGAAACCATAATATTTATGCGTTAATTAATAAGGACCTTTTTTGTAGAGAATTTAATTTAGTAACAGGGCTCCCACACATCTTAAAACTTATAAAATTCCTAAAATTTGGCTTAAATCTTGAAGACTAAAACTCCTAAAATCCTAAAAATTAAATTTAACCCGACTGCGTTTAATTAAGGTAGTTGTCGTGCTAAAAAAAATCTTTTTTTAAAAGTAATTTAAAAATATATATTTTTAGGTCCTATTTTATTAAATTCTTTTTAAAATGATAAAATTCACAACCGAAATTTTTCCTAAAAAACAACAAACAAAACTTGTCATATTTAGCCATATTTCGTTTGTTTTAGACAAAAATATACCGTGTTATATATCAAACAAAGGGATTTTTAAATGACAGCTAAAATAGTAAACAATCTAAAGAATATTTTGCTGTATTTTGCAAACTTCATATTTTGTTATGAGTTTTTTAAGTCCAAAAATTTAATTTATTTTCTAAAATCAATTTTAAAATACATTTTTGTGAGAAGATATAAATTATTTTACAGAATATGAATATTATATTTCATAAAATAGTTAAAATATTCTAACAAAAACGGATTTAGAACTATAAAACAAGTACCTATAGGTACTATTCTTAATCTTACCGATTCAATTACTGTTAGTTATTAACTAAACGGTTAACATATTTTTTTTTAAATATAAATATTAGGGTGGTCGTTAAAAATTAAATTTTTTGCGACGCCCCCTAAAAAGTTTCGTTTTGATGAAAATACACTGGGAATTTTTTTTTAATTAAAAACAACACGTGCCTCGAGACGATCTAAGTTAATTTTTTGTTATAATCATGTCTTTTTTGAAAATATGAAATAATATTTTTTTTAGATTTAAAAATTATTAACAATGAAATAAGTTCACCTTGGAGTGAAGAAATCTAGATATTAAAATTAGGTTTGTACTAATTTAGTTTTAAATTAAAAATATCAATTTAATATCTTTCATTTTTTTATTTAATAGACCAAATCAACTGGGAAAAATTTTGAATTTAAATTTTTGTCTGTTGTTATTTCGATTAACTATTGTTTTTAACGACCACCCTATAAATATAACATAATTTGATTTTGACCTAGTTTTTCAGCCAAATCTATCAACGCATTTTTTTAAATAAAATTATTAGTGTGGTGAAATTTATACTTGTATAGTTATATATGTACCTCATGAGGTATGCATATGCATCATGCCTCGGGCATCATGGCGCGCAGTGCAGGAATCTCACACTTTCTGCCCTTGTAGTGTAATATACTATTTCCTACTAGAGATTTATTCACATTACCAATTTGAGAAGATCTTTTTCTTAATTGTTTATTAGACTTTTTTGCACAATTGGTGTAATAAATCACGGTTTTGAAAATATTTTCATAAAGTGGTTAATTTCAAAGCTACTATTAAAATAATAAAATTTCAATTAGCCTGTTCTAAATAAATGAAATGTTTTAGTTTCTTTGCATCTTTCAAATTGTTGAAAGTTGTATCATAATTTTGAGAAAATGCTAACGTTAGAACAAATAATTTATATTTATATTGTGCGAAGTTATGGTTTTGCAGTTCTTCGAGAATTCCATGAGATATGGCCTGATGTTCCTCTCACGGACAATGGTTTAAAAAAAATTGTAATAAAATTCATGAGAACTGGTAGTGTTTTAAATAAAAAAAGGGAGAAAAAAAGTATGATGAAGATGATGCTGTAACTGTAATGATTCAGTTAGAAATTTTCCCAAACTGTCTTTAAGAAAAAGATCTTCTGAAATTGGTAATGTGAGTAAATCTCTAGTAGGAAAAATATTAAAATTCAATAAAATTCGTCCGTACAAACCTAAATTTAATCATTTACTGGAAGAAAATGACGACATGAAGCCTTTGGATTTTTGTTTGTTGATAGGGGAACATATCCTTAGACAAAGAAGTTTTGTTAATAATATTATTTTCTTGGACGAGGCAACTTTTACCACAAACGGGGTAGTTAGTTCGCAAAACTGTTGCTTTTGGAGCCGCGACAATCCTAATTTTTGTATCCGCTCTAGAAGACAGTATTCACACAAAGTTAACGTGTGGTGTGCTATTTCTTACAATGGAATCATTGGACCATATTTTATTGAAAACAATTTAAATCAACACACTTATTTGCATCTTCTGAACAATTTTTTTTATGATCATTTGCAAGATATACCTTTAGCTGATCGAATAAAATTACATTTCCAACAAGACGGCTGTCCCGCTCATTCCACGATAATTGTTCGTGATTGGCTAAATAATCAGTTTGGGAACAAATGGTTTGGAAGATATGGTCCAAATGAGTGGCCACCTAGGAGTCCCGATCTCACAATTATGGACTTTCATTTGTGGGGATATCTGAAGCAACAGGTGTATAAAACCAATTTTAATAATAACGTAGATCTCTTGAAAGAAAAAATAAGAGAAGTCATTGCAAATATCCCAATACAGCAAATTAGGAATTGTTATCGGGAATTCAGATATCGAGTTGAACTATGCGCTGAACTCGGTGGTACCACGTTCGAATAGAATGTTATTTATTTTAATATTTTATAATTTATGATTAAGAAATACTTAACATGTAATAATAAAAATACAAATAAGAAATAAGTAGTTTTCTTACAACAAAATCGTTATTCGGCCAGATATAAAATTATATTCTAAGTAGGAAAGCAAAAATAGTTGTCTGTTCTTATGTAAATTTATTTTAAACGAAATCCAAAAAAATAAAATGTTGTTTCTGGCTAACCCTGTATAGTAATCGTAAATTTGATATTCGAAATTGTAGTTTCAACACAAGCAGACGTTTTTATAAAGAGTGACTTTTTTTCTAAACCCACAAATAAAAAAGTTTTTCTTCTTAAACGAAATCCAAAAAAATAAAAATGTTGTTTATGGCTAACCCTGTATAGTAATCGTAAATTTGGTATTTGAAATTGTAGTTTTAACACAAGCAGACGTTTTTATAAAGAGTGACTTTTTTTCTAAACCCACAAATAAAAAAGTTTTTCTTCTTCCGAACTCTATCCGTGGACACACTGTATATACAAAAGCAGTAATTTTACCTCACTTTTAATTTTATTTAAAAAAACTCTTTGAGCAATTTGGCTAAAAAACTAGTCAATATAACTAATTTTAACAAAAGAAGTATTAATTTTTTTCTTATATTTTAAGTAGTAAAGAAATTCATTTCCATATTTTATTTCTCCAAAAATTTTACAAAAAACCTCCTAAATTCCTTTTTGTTTTAAGTGCAACTGGCAAATTGACTAATATTCTGATATGATATGATATTCAACCCACTCCAATGTATACCTATACATAAATTTTTGTTTTGTTTGAATTTAATTGAATTTTATTTTTGTGTATTCAAATACTTGAATTTTTACAATATATTTCATTTAAAATAAATTGGCCAATTTTTTTCTCTTAGGACGGGCTTGGACGATTTCCGAGACTGGTTCAAAAATTATGTGTCCTCGTTTGAGATCACTTTATTTAATACGAAATAGAAATCAAATAAAATAAAAAATATTTACCTTGTACTGGTGCTGGATGTAGTTTTTAGCGACATATCATCAAGCCAGTCTTCGACAAGCGTCAAGTGAGGGAAATGCGTCGCCAGAAGTTTCAACAGAGGCCCGAAAAGACCCGAATAACTGGTCTGATCCTTCTGCGCGTGATGCAACAAATATTTAATGGGCAACTCGCTCATAAACTCCGAAGTGTAAATTTTAATTTTGCGCCCGCTCGACGCCAAAACGTGCGCGTTGTTCAGTCTGCAATCCTCGTACAAGAGCAGGTAATAAAGCAGCAGCAGTTGCGGGGTTAGGCTGCTGTCGTCCACGAAAATATTCCCGTCGATGTTGTCGCTCGACCCGTCCATCTCCATGCTGATGACGCGTGTGTTTCTTTTATCGAAATACTGCCCGAATATCGAGCTTTGAAAAACCCGGCGTATTTCGTTCTCAGACAACGGTTTATTGGTGTGCTGTTCCGAGGATTTCGCGTTCGGAAGTATGATGCTACTCACGTAAACCTCGACCAGCATCGGCAACACCGGATGCAGGGGACTGACGCTCGTGCAGATCTGCCGGTAAATCCAGCTTTTGATGTTCACGTTGTGCTTGGCGAACGCTCTGGACTTCAGCAGCTGGTGTATGCAATGTATGGGCAGGAAACCCAGCATGTTGGCGTTCAGAGAGGCGGTCACGGGCACCTTGACCGCGTGCGCGGTCACCACTTGCTCGGTGAATATGTCCTGCGTGAACACCTGCTTCATGCGCGTCATGTTGTTGTGACGTATGGCTATCTTCATGCCCAGCGTCGCGCACACCAGGTCGCAGATGGCGCTCAGCTGGTTGCTGTGGAAATGGATCGCCATCAGTAGCAGCATTTCGCCGAAAGAGGCGCTCACGCCGCTGGCCGATTCGAAGTAGGCCTCCTCGCGAACCAACCACTGTACCTGAGCGTTTAAAATTACAGCAATAAAAATGTATCGAACATAAATATAATATAGAAATATTTACCCATTCTATGCTGCGTTTTTCGTGTTCTGGCAGAGCGACCAATGAGGGACAAGCTATCAACATACATAAACCAATGGAAGCAAACCTTACACCAGCTGGCGTTGGATTTGGATGGGATGTTAACAGTTGAACAATTAGGTTTACTTCTTCGTCTTGAAATCTGCAAAAATAAAAATTAACACATTTTTATGTACCATATTTTCATTTGAAATATATACACTCGAGTGAACCCGTGTGAACCCGAACCCGAACCCAGATGCATTGTAAGCGGGTTGCCGTAGGCGAAGATTCAGTTATGTTTTGCATTTGCTAGTGTGTATTTCGAGCGTTTTAACAAAAATTAATTTCTTTTATTTAAAATTATAAGTTATAATGTCCTATTTGTCCTAGTTATTTTAAGAAGTTTGATTTTTAGTTTTGTTTAAATTTGTTTTCAAAATAATTATTTTAATTTAGTTTTTAAAGAGAATTTTTTATGTTTAAACGTTTTTTTGAAGAACACTTTTACTTAAATACAAAACAAATAATGATACACATTCCAAGTATCTGAATCATTTTTAAAAGTAAATTAACTTAATAATGCGTAATTCGAATTAATAATCTAGAGCAAACTTGCTGAACACAAAACATAAGCTGCTGAATTACGAAAACCGTCCCTCGGCGTCTCCCACACCAAAATTACGGTATAATAATTGTAATATTTTGATAAATTACTACCTACTTTTAAAGAAAAATTATTGCCGAATCGTATACAGAAGAAAAATCGAACAAAATTGATTTTTTTTCATTACAGCGCCATCTATTACAAATATGAAAAGATGTTTTAGACAAAATCTACCTATTTTTAGTCGAATGATCCGAATCTGCAATAAAAAATAGGGTGTTCCATTGGGAATTTTAATGTTACCCCCTGTTTCCCCTATAAGGAGGAGAGTATGAAGACCAATTTTAGTACTGATTGATTTCCCCCCTCGAATCATTTAATTTTTATTTTAAACATTTTTTCGCAAAATGCATACTGAGATATTTCAAAGTTTCAAGTTAAATGACTCACCCTGTATATACAGTGTGTATACAATAGAATAAGTAAAGTCATAGATAGCAAATCAAAAAGAAAAGAAGACAAGCAAAACCCCTAACATAACTCTCAACCACAAGGCATAATATTTTACGCCAAATAGCGTACGACATTTTGAAAAATGGATAAAAATCTTATGGACATCAGAAAAAGGGTGAACAGGCATTAATGAATTACTTAGTATGATGCGTGACTCACGCAGCGTGAGTAAAGCGAGACTTTTGAGACACCCTGTATAACATAATGTGTCTTACTTTGTTAAAATTATAAACAGTAAAAGAATAATATTAAGTAAATAAAAATAATAATGTGTTATTTTACCAACAGCGCCGAAATTTTAGTTATTTAAAAAAATGTCTAACCAAAATACTAATAATGTCCCAGTGATAAAATATAACAACTTATTACATTGGGTATAAAATAATTTTTAAAAATTTATGAACTAAAAAACTCAGCTCAGTCTCAGCAATGAAATTTTAATCACTTAAAAATCACTTAAAAATAATTAAGAAACCATTAAATTTGTATAATAGTTTTATAATAATTATTATAAAACTATTATACAAATTTAATGGTTTCTGAATTATTTTTTTAAATGTGTCCCTTCTGATATTTCACGTTGAAAATACCCGATTTGACGAAATAACATTTAAAGACCCATTAAAAAAATTAAGCCACTCTAGGCCTAAAACTTTATAGTGAAGTATACCTACTATAAACACTATTTCCAGAAAAAAAAGTTTCTCTTTAACATTTTTAATTTTTAAAGAGAAAGTTTGTATTTTAAAATAAAGTAGGCCTATATATGTATACTGGACAGAAAATATTGTACTTTGTATATTCTTTAACATCGTTTTTGTACAACCAGAGGTAAAAAGATAAGAAAATATATTTTGTTAGCAACCTTATTAAATTAAATTTGATGTGGGTTGACCCATACATAAAATAGTAATTTAATAATAAAATTTTAATTTTTGTTTTAAGATTTAAGGAAATATTTTTTATACATATTTTGGTTTCTTATTTAATTTTCGTTAGTTTATCCCTGTTTTATTGGAACTTAAGAATTCCATAATAAGCATTAAAGTAAATTTCATTTTTTAAGTCCAAAAATTTAGAATATTGGAAAACCCATTATTTTTTAAAACGGTTATTTAAAATTAAGAATTTTATAAAAAAAAAACAAGTTCTTACTTAATTGCTGCAATCCCTCTTAAGGCACAATAGAGCCTCAAAAGTGCAGAAGCCTGTACAACCAAATTATCAGGCAGCTGCCCCTCAGATGACTCATCAATGATTCTTAACAACCTCCTTGTTAACTCATCTCTAAGCTGTTGTAAAGCTGTACTAGACACTTCACCTTTGCGCTTTTGACCTGTTCTTATAAAAAGTGCAATCCAATTCCTACAAATTAATACTTAATAAGATATAATAAACAAGAAATTTTTATTTGCCTTGTAGTTTGATCATTCCCCAACAAAAGTCCAGATACAAAAGCAACCATATCACTGTCATCACCTACTTTAGCCATTTTATCAACATGTTCCAAAGATAAAGTTATTGCCAAAGCTGGCATTCTACACAACTCCACACATTTACTTCTCACTGTTAAAGCTTGAGATGGATTCATCTTGCACAATAATGATATAGTACAAGCTCTTACTGTACTGGACAGGTTTTCTTCCTGCTTTTCACCACTTTGAATCAGATAAGTACAAACTAAAAAAAATTGTTTAATTATAGTTTACATGGAACCAAAAATGTCAAATAAATAAAGAATCTAGAAGAAATGCTGTACCTTCTCTAAAACAGTCAGGAAAATTGGCAACAATCCTGCCAATAATCACAGGACCATTATGAACATGTAACAATGTGTCGCATATATTTGTAATACTCAAGGTTGTAGGCAACTCTGCTATAGCAATACAAATAATATCAGCCAATTCTTCAGTAAAAATATCATTGTCAAACAAGTCCGACGACCGCAAAAAATATTCGTGATCACCCCCTTCGGAATTATCCTGAATTTGGGACTGAATATACAATAATTCCCCCAAAAGAATACTTAGTCTTCTGGTCATATCACTTCGTTCATACTCCAAAGCCATGCTGCTATTCGACAAATTCCCAATTAAAATCGAATCATTCTGCACCGTATTCCCTTTCTGCCTCAATTGTTGTTCCTTACGAACATCTGCTTCCAACTTGTGAAAGTCAATTGACAACAAAGCCACAATAGAGTTGACCAACTCCACTCCCGACACAATAGTTAGTATGGACAGTTTCATGTTCGCACACCTTTTCGACATATCGAGGGGCGAAATTAACCCCATTCGAACTAAACAAGGCAACACCGGCCGTATTTCAGTTTCTGTGCATTTTGCCAGGGAATCCATATCCACATTTTGTATGGCGCGAAACACTTTCGCATCTATTCCTCGTCTAAATGCCATTTTGTGTTAGTTTACATTAATTGTCTTGTAAACAAATGTTTTGCCGCTGTCAAGTTGACATTTTATTTAAAGGTTAAACTTCTTCTTCCTTATTCGTATGTAAGTCGAAGACGATGTAATTTTAAAATAATAAAATTGTATTAATAAGTAAATGCAAGTAATGTTATATTTAAGTTAATTAACTTTAGTATCAGACATACATTCAATGTTTTATTAAAATTCTAATAATACTCCTCCCAAAAATTAAGTGTAATTTTGGTTGCATAGCCATATTTTCAAAATGAAAGTTAACCTTGATTTTCTGCTGATTAAAAAATATTGATAATATTGTTTAGTTTTAGGTTTTTATTTAAGTTATGCTAAGTGACTTATAGATAAATCATATTACAATACTGTAACTGAAGTAAATAAGATAAGAAATTTCAAAAAAGGTCAATTTTGGTTCTTCTATTGTGAAATTTGTTAAAATTTTATGCATGCATATTATCATTTTTCATTAGTAATCGTCCATACGTACAAACAGTATTAAAACATGTCTTTGAAAACTTTATCCACTTATTTATTAAAAGGTAATATTTCTTTTACATTTTAGCAATATTTGTGTAAATTTGGTTTTTAGCAAAATCATCACAAAACCATGTATCGAGATTATTTAGCCTACACAAATTATCTGATGAGCATTTAATGCTTCAAAAAACATGCAAGGATTTTGTAGAGGCTGAACTTAAGCCAATTGCTGCCCAGCTTGATAAAGAACACAAATTTCCAGCAGAACAGGTAAATAAATAAATAGATAATAAATAAATAGATAAAAAATAAAACAAAATAGGTTTATTTACGTATTAACAATACATTTGTACTTTGTCCATTCAGGATTAAAATCTTTACTAGGAACAACCCATCCAATGGGTATTTTAGACCCACTAGAGCTCGATTCAGCCACCAAAAATGTATCCCAACTCTTTCTCACAGCAATAAATGTCTCCATATTTCTTTCCGAAGCTGTTAAAGCCCAAAATGTAGGGTTATCTGTGGGTTTTACATTGTTGCCAAACAAAACATGTTGCCATTCGTTTACCAGTTCTCTTTCTTTTTTAAGATTTGCTTGTTTGTTATCTTCGGTGGCAGTTTTTTCAAGCATTAATCTTAGGCCTTGTTCTTCCTTTGTGTAGGATTTTATGCTGTCTTCCCACATTTTGATCAGTTTTTCTGTAATAATAATATTAATAATAAAAACATTTATTGAGCAAAATATAACAATTTAAAGTACAATGCACAAATAAGTTTTAATACAACTTAAGACTTAAATAATAAGTAATAAAAAAGTTGCTAAAAAATGTGGTCATTATATACAGTGTGACCCATTTGTTTGCAACTCACCCCTGTAAAATCTTTATTTATTGCGCGATTTTAACCGGATTTATTTTAAAGTGTAGATTTCGATAAACTAATTTTTTTAAACAAAAAACGCCATATTTTTACAAAATACAAGGCATACTATGTCAGTGTTTGGGAGTAAATTTTTAAGAATTCATATTCACCACCCCTCAAAACAACCCTATACTAAATTTTATTGAAAAATTTTAAGAAAAAAAATGTACAATATAACTACAAAAATTTATTTTGTCAAGTTATCCATGAAAAAAACATTGAAATAAAATTAATTGATCCATTAATTGATCCATGTTACAAATATTTAAAGTTTTTTAATTTATTGGTTTATCAATTTTAATAAAACTTAAATTATAGCAAGTTCTGAAAATAAATAATTATTTTTTATAATACTTAAGAAGGTAATAGATTATTTTAAGTAGATAAGACTTGTGAAGCAAGTGTCAATCTTGTTTTTATTATAAAATTTTGTATTTAAAAATATGCTTAATATAGTTTTTCTACAAGCATGCATGTGAAAAGTCAAGTTGGTAAAAAGTAAGGTTAAATTCGTCAGACAGTTGTCAGATTGGTAAAAAGTGAGGTTAACACATTTGAAATAAAATTACTTTGCGTTCTTTTTAGATAAAGTATGTTATGCAATTTATTTAATAAACTTCTCTAGATCACTTATTTATTAAAAGCTTGCTTTGCTTGTGCATAATTTAACTCGTGTATTAATTTATTATTATTAAATACTATAAAAATGGTTACATAATATATTTCATCATAAAAGGTTCATATCTTGACAAAAATCCAAATAAATAAACAAAAAATGTTGTTTAAAAGTTAATTGTGCAATTTTTATTACTAACTATATTGATTCTCTTATTTTGGTATATAGAATCTTTATAAATAATTAAATTTACCTTTTTTAGAAACTCTTTATGTATAATACAACTCTGATTATTAAGATATTTACCTGTGGTAATATTAAAAGCTTGTTTGTCTTCAAGAAGTATTTTTTCACCCCTTTGAATTGCCATACTTTCCCTTACTGACCTTAATTTTACCAAAGATGTAATTAAAGACAATTGTTTTCTGGCATCAGACTTTTTTTTGGTTACTTCTCCCAGCACACAGTCTGCATCTCTTTTAATGTTTTCTTCCTAAAACAAAACAAATTATGTAAATTAAAAAATAAAATGTTTTCAGAATTTTACCTCTTTGATCCTATTGGCTTCCTCTCGCATGCTATTCAACCACAAGTCAATTTCTTTATGCATTCGTTGCCTTTGTTCTAATTTAACCTTTTCAGTGAGTCTATTTCGTTGTTTCTTATGTTTAAGATTCAGTCTTTTCTTTTTTCTCTTCTCTATAAGTTTTTTCAAGTTACTTATGGTTTTAGGATTATTGAGGGTAGTCACCAGGCTAACATAATCCTTCTTCATTTCTTCGATTTGTTTAATTTTAATTAGCCATTCATCGTTACCCATAGTTTCAATTTCACTATGTAAATTACCTTCAAACTTTTCCAATTTCTCCAGCAATGCCAAAGTGTGTTGCAGGGTTTCTTTGGCTTGATGCAACGAGACTTGCGCGGTTTTATTTTGTGGTTTTTGCAAAACAGCCCTGGTTAGATTGTTTTGATGGAGCCATGAGTCAATCCAAAGTTCATCATTTGTGCTTCCGTAGATTGTCTGTAGTTCGCTGTTGATGCTCAAACATCTCGGATCAAGACTGTAGCGAAAATCCGGGGCGAATTGTGGATTTGTATTGGTCGATTGCGGCGCGATTGCTTGATTTGTCGGTGGTGCGCTTATAAAGTCTTGATATTTTAAGAAATTCATTCTGTTTTTATGTTTTTTGCAACAAAATAATATTTAATTACAAATTACTTTGTCTAATAACGTTAATTGTACATAGTTTAACGTTTTTTAAGAAGTTTTAACAACAAAACGACAACTTAATAAAGTTTGGTTAGGTTTCGCTTTGCGTTCTGTTTTATCGACTTGGGTTTGTTCAGAAACTTCAGTTCAATTTAAATTTAAAATTTTATTTAGTTCTACTTATTTTGTAATTAAGTGTTGAGTCAACACTGTTGACGCATTTATTATCAAATATTTGTTTATGCGGTATTAGCTAATAATAAATCATAAAATAAAGATTGTTCAGGACCGTATTTAAAAAATTATAATATACGAGGGACAAGCAATATGATCAATATTATATGTAATTCTTTTTTTCTTTTCCTTGTATTATGTTTATAATTTTTAGATAAAAAAAATGGGTGAATTGGGTCTTTTATCCATAAACGTGGATGAAAAATGGGGTGGAGCCGGACAGGACATGTTATCTACAGCGGTGGCTGTAGAAGAAATCGCACGAGGCTGTGGTGGTTCTGGCACCATTGTATCTGTCCATAATTGTTTGTATGTTAATTTATTAAATAGATGTGGTACCGATAAACAAAAGGAACAATTTTTGAAGCCCTTTACTAGCGGCACACTGGGATGTTTTGCTCTTAGTGAACCAGGTATACCGTCTCGCTTTTTTTAATATTAAGTTTACAAAATTAATTTTTTTAGATGCTGGTAGTGATGTAGGTGGTATGTCCACCACGGCCGTCCTAGACGGTGATAATTACATTTTAAACGGTACTAAATCGTGGGTAACCAGCGGTACCGAGGGAAAAGCCGCCATTGTTTTCGCCACCATCGACAAATCCCTGAAACACAGGGGAATCACAGGGTTCATTATTCCAATGCCTACTGCCGGTCTATCGTTGGGCAAGTTGGAAGATAAATTAGGAATTAGGGCGTCGCCAACTTGTAATTTGATTTTGGAAGATGTTAAAGTACCTAAAGAGAATTTGTTAGGTAAGTTATTTATCAAGGTTTCATTATTTCATAAAAAGTCATACAATATATTTACTATACCCATAAATTAACCTTAAAAATTGACAGTTTGATGACAGCCCTGATAGAATAGGGTTATTTTTTTTACAAAAGAGGACCATTTTGGATGCCCTTAGCACTTTAATGCCTCTTTTAAGGCTTACAAGTGCTTCTGTAAGAAACAAGACGCTTAAAACGATTTTTAATCTGTACAAACAGCACAAATCTGAAATCTGAAGCACAAAAATAATTCTTGTAAATTATGTAATGTAATGTAATTATGTAATTATTGTAAACAACATAAAAATGGCCGCCGTTAAAGTCTGTGCCTAACTTGTTGATTTTTATTATGCGCAAAATATCGGTCCGATTTTTATTGCCATGGCAATAAACTGCAGTCTGGGGGGAAAGTTGGTAACTTTTACGAATCCACACTTTAAATTTTAACTTTTTATACTATTAGTAAATAGATAAAGTTACAAATTTTATAAATTTCATTAAAATCTGACAAAAATTGTTCGCTTAACAGCAATTTTGGCTAAAAAATATTAATAATAATAATAATAAATGTTCTTTATTGAAAAAAATACATTTTTCAAAAGGCCATTGACTTTCGTCCTTCAGCCGGAATATACATTTTTGAAATACTTATTGATAATTATACTAAAATATTTTGATTGTGAAAAAATATACAAAAAAAAAATATATATACATATGTAACTAGTTTATATTATCATTGAGAATTATCTCAATGGTTGTTTTTGATGGATGTCTGTGCCTGGCATTTTCCAATCTTGTCATGCAAAATTCCATAAAAATATCTTTTGACTCTTCTCTCTCTCTGTATTTGGCTGCCAAGATTCGAATTCTCTCCGTTATTGGAATTATTCCTGTTCTTTGGTATAACAAAGGATTGGGAGGGTTATGTAGCGGATTGTTGGGATGTCGGATTTTTGAAATTTTCCTTAGTGATGATGTTTCAGCTACTTGTAGGTTTTTTAAGGTGGGAGTTTTGGCATTGAGAAATAGGGGAAAACCATATTCGATAATGCGTCTACAGATCAGTTTATAAATTCTGATAAGGTTTGTGATGCTTAATCCATAGTTATTAATCCTTAAACCAGAAAAGTGTTTTGCCCTGGCTATTGTTTTCTTTTTTGTTAGTTGGGTGTGCAGTTTCAGATTTATTTTATGGTCTAATAGCATGCCCAGGTAATTGGTGGAGTTTTCTGGGAGAATTGTATGGCCTTGCAAAGAAATGGATGGAGACTGGTCGGTAATACGGTGGTGAAAGATTAAAAGATGAGATTTGCTAGGATTTGGTGTAAGTCTCCATTTTGAAAACCATTCTGATGTCGAGTTAACTAGGTTTTGCAGGCTCATCATCACTTGGGGTATGGATTTTTTGTGGGAGATTAATACCGTGTCATCGGCAAATTGAAGAGTGTATGCTTCGAAACTAAAGTGGTTTTCATTTGGGAATTGGTGGCTATATATATCGTACCAAAATATGTTGTAAAGCAAAGGCGAAAGGGGAGAACCTTGTGGTAGGCCTTGCTCAGTGACAAATGTTTTTGAGTAGGAGTTTCCGACCTTGACTTTGAGGGTTCTATTGTTTAATATTTTGAATAGAAGTGAAATGAAATGTTTTGGGCAGTTCATGTGGAAGAGTTTAAACAATAGACCCTTTATCCAAATGGAATCAAATGCTTAACAGCAATTTTGGCTAAAAAATATTATTTTGTTAAAAACATGATTTTAGAGGGAAAAATTTAATCAAGGTGTGCAATTTTTTTTTAGTTTAATAAGAGCCCATAGCTACATTACAAATGATATAAAGTGTTTGATTAAAAAAAATTAAACCGTATTTTCATTTAAAATATATAGACATACATATATCTATATATTTTAAATGAAAATACGGAATAATTTTATAATGCATATGCATTGTAAGCGGGTTGTTATAGGCGACGATTCAGTTATGTTTTGCATTTGCGAGCTTTTTGACATAGATTAATTTCTTTTATTTAAAATTATAAGTTATAATGTCCTACACATTGCAAGAGAAGCATAAGCTGGTCTTTATTGTGCAATTCTTTACGTCAAACAAGAGACCTCTTCTTAGTTAAATATCCGGATCGTTCTATTTCGACAATTAGAACAATAACAAACGTTATCAAAATATTTAAAACTAATGGTTGTATTTAATTAATTTATTTCCATTTATTTGAAGAAGTTTGACTTTTAGTTTTGTTTTAAGGAAATTGATTTATTTATTTTAATTTGGTTTCAAGAGTATTATTTTATTTTAGTTTTTAAAGAGAATTTTTTTATGTTTACACCTTTAATTAATAATTACCTGTTATTTACATTTTAAGTATCTGCTTATGGCAAAAAACGTTTTTTACAATACTGCAAAAGCCACCCTGTGTAATTAATTATTTTAGGACGCCCTGGTGAAGGTTTCAAAATCGCCATGCAACAGCTCGACAAGGCGCGCGTGGGGATCGCCGCCCAGGCTCTGGGCATCGCCCAAGCGGCCCTGGAAGTAGCCGTAGCCTACGCAGGCCAACGCAAAGCTTTCGGCCAGCCGATCAACCAACTGCAAGCCGTCAAACTGCGTCTCGCCGACATGGCCTTGAAACTGGAATCGGCCCGCCTGCTCGTCTGGCGCGCGGCTGCGCTCTGCGACCAACCGGAACGCTCGACGAAGGGATCGTCCATGGCGAAGTTGGCCGCGAGCGAGGCGGCCACCTTTGTTTCGCACAGCGCCATCCAGATTTTGGGAGGCATGGGTTACGTCAGCGATATGCCGGCCGAGAGGCATTACAGGGATGCCAGGATCACCGAGATTTATGCCGGGATCAATGATATTCAGAGGTTGTTGATCGGGGATCTAATTGTTAAGGAGTACGAATAAGTTTGGGATGGTGGGATTGTTATGTTATGTAGGTATTGAACTTTATACAGAAACTTTATTTTTATAAGCATACATTTCAATATACAATCAATTATATTTTTATACTTTTGGTTTCATTTATTATAACTTTTAATAAAAATACTGCTAAGTAGGTAGGTACTAAAAAATCAACTACAACAGTTAATATTTTATATGATAAGTTCATTTAGTATCGCAAGAATCAAAAAGACCCTTCTTTCTTTGGCGCTCAAATTCTTTTTCAATGTCGTATGTCCTAAAAGATAAAATAAGTAAGGTAAAACACAGTAAAAATTACATTGAAGTAAAACTTCTAAATCGAGTTTTAAACTCATGTCTTGGTTTTGATCATAAAAAATTTAAAAGGCTGGGATACTGGAAACTATGGGGTGCCGTTTTATTTTTTATTCAGGAATTACTAAAGTGATATTTTCAATTAGATAAAAAATATCGTATAAGAATTTATATTTTGCGAATTAAAAATAGCATACTTAGTGGATATTTCAAAATTAAATTTTATTTTTATGCCAAACTGATATTTTTAATTTACTGACTATCATAGTCTAAGGAGACATTTGTAAATGCATTAAAAATATTAGAGGAGATATTTTTATTTTATTTTAATTTTAATTTTTTTAAATAGGCAGATATTTTTAATTCAGATTAAAAGTTTGGACACCCCTGGTATTTCAAACTAATTATGTCACTAGATGGCGGCACAATCATTGGGATCTACGACGTACGTGAGTCCGATGTCGCACTGACCCAGCTGAACAAGGACAGTAGGGTGTCCCTTATTTTTATTTTTTTTCGTATACCCTCTAATTATATTTATTACTTGTTTATATACTCCCAGTAAAAATTTCAGCTCATTCTATAAACGGGAACCCGTGCCGAGTTGCATCTAAACCCTCCGTTAGCCAACGTTAGGCGCGCGCGGTATTTTGTAACACGAAACACTTTAAAAAGAAGATACTTCATGACTGTATTTTTCTAATTATTTTATTTAATATGATTACTAATTAATATTATTGCTTTTGTTTCTATCATTTGTTTCACTATTTTAGTTGATTTTATCCCTTAAATATATTAATATACTAATTAGTATTGCTAAAATATACTGTTATATGAAATTTCAGCTTTTTATAAGCATTTCTTTTCTTGATGTCCTCCCAAAAATATTTCAGACAGTTCAATAAGTTTTCGGTAGTCATCTCTCACAATAGACTATTTTAGTTATTTAGAGTAAAACCCATTAAGTTTATCAATTTCAGAGTTTACGGCCTATTCACCAGGCCCTTCCGGGTAACTAGTCACTCCCTGTGAAAATATACATTTTTATCAAAGTAAATAAAACTATATTTTAACATTTGTCAATAATTTATAATATAAGGGTCACATATATGTATTATTATAATAACAAACACAAAATGACTTACGATCGAAGACCTCGCGACCAACCGTGTTACAAAATACGGCGCGCCTAACGTTGGCTAACGGAGGGTTCAGATGCAAGTCGGCACGGGTTCCCGTTTATAGAATGAGCTGAAATTTTTACTGGGAGTATATAAACAAATAATAAATATAATTAGAGGGTATCCGTAAAAAAAAATAAAAATAAGGGACACCCTAAAGGACAGTCAGTGTTGCCAAAACTCACGATTAATCGTGAGATTACACGATTTTGGAAAATATCTTACGATTTCACGAATCACGTAGCGTTTCTCACGATTTTTATTTTACATCAAATTTTACAAACTTTAAAAAAAATAATGTTTTTTTCATTAATAACAAACGTCACATTTTAGGTTAAGCGTTAGGACTTTCGCTGCCACTGGATTAATTTCATTAAAATTCGGGGAAGCCCCGAATTTCGCACATGGTTATATTTGAATAAAAAAGATGATTCGAGTGATTCCGACAGTTTTTTAGTTTTTTGAAATGTGTTTGGTTTTATGTAATACCAAAGATTAAATATACTCTGTAATTTGATCTTTGGTAATACATATAAATATAAATATATTTTTGTTTTTTATAAACTTTTTTATTCTTTCCTTTACTATTTTGATCTCTTTTTAGGACTTTTTAAAATCTCACGATTTTTAACATAAAATCTTCACGAATTATCTTGGAACATTTTGGCAACCCTGACAGTACACGTTAGTTTGTTGTTGGAGTGGGTCGGTTTTTGTGGCGTTTGGATTAACAGGGGTATCCAAACTCTCAATCAGTCGGAATTAAAAATATCTGCTTATAAAATAAAATAAAAATTAAATCGAATCAAAAATATCTCCTATGATATTTTTAATACATTTAAAAATTTCTCCTATGATATTTTTAGTTTAGCGAATTAAAAATATGTGTTTAGCAAAAAAATACGAATAAAAGAAGCAAATATTTTAAATTAACTAAATAAAAAATATCACTTTGACATAAAAATTAAATCTAAATTTTAATTTAGCGAATTAAAAATGTGTGTAATACAAATATAAGAAAAATATTTTAAATTCACTAAATTAAAAATATCAGTCTGGCATATCAAAAATTATTTCAAAATATCTGCTATAATAATATTAATTCGCAGAATACAAATTCTTATACATAAGAATTTCATGGGATATTTTTTTCTAATTGAAAATATAATTCTAGAGTTAACATATAAAATTAATTCCTGAATAAAAATAAAACTCCGCTTTCCCTCTCTTTCTTAAGAGTAATTATAATTAGTATACTCTTAAAAGTAATTACTTATACACAGCCACCCATTCCTTACGCCACTAACACAAACTCTACTTTCACGCTTTACGATTTTCTGTAACGTCACTCATTATATGTAACCAATGCGTTTCATATTTTTCGCTAAAGAAGTTTCACTTCAAAAATATCTACCCACTAAAGGGTCTTTTCAGTGTTAAAGGTCCTTACTTGTAAAAATCGGCATATTTTTGCTTTCTTCCATCGCCAAAGATAAATCTCATATATATTCCTGCCGCCAGTACAGAAATACCCACTAACGCCAAATTCTTTTTGATTTGCTGATGTAACAAGCTTCGCATTTGCGGTTTTTTCAAGGGGCTGAGTTCAGACATATTTCTATAAACAATAATTCATTACACATTTTAAATGCAAACCACATAAAGTAGTGGTTAAAAATACTGAGAATTGATTAGGTAGGTACTTCAAGTTTTTTTTTACTTTATATTTTAATTCAATTCCTTCAAAGAAAGTGGATTAAAAAAAATTCTAAATTTTAAAGTAAAATTGAGTTAGGTATGTAACTTTTATTTATTAGCGCAGAAAATTCACTTTAGCCTGAAAGTAAATTTATTTTATTGATTAAACCATAAAATGTTTGTTCTCCAATAACAAACCTAATTAAAGTTTGAAACCTTTTAATACAAGTAATTAACTCTTTTATGAACGTTTTTAGTTCAACATTACTCATTCCTAAGCAAATTATGAAGATATAAGTAATTAAATTTTAAATATTATGGGTGAACATAAAGATAATTAAAGACCTTGGGAAAAAGTGACAAATTTATTCTTTAGGAAAACATGTTTTATGCAATTTTTTAAATAGAGAAAATGTATTTTTTAGAACTAAAGTATTACTAAATATTAGTATATTTAATTGTTTAAAAAAATATAATCCTCTGAAAAGTTTTCTTTAAAATTGTACAAAACTTAAAATTGACAATTTTAAAATTAATTAATTATTTAAAATAAATAAATAAATTATGAGGCTTACCTAAATGTAAGTTAAACTTTTACCTCACCTCACTAAACGCTTTTACAGCAGAACCGCCTAGATTTTCTGTCGGCCACTATAATTTCCGTATAATAAATAAAGGAGTGTGCGCTCTATTTTGTATTTCTGTGCGTGAGTATTTCCATTGAAATAGCTGATGGGAAAACCGCAGATAAAATTCTATCGGCGAATAACATTGTTTACCTTTTACAAATAATTGAATTTTCTTTCCAGAAAAACAATTTTAGCTAATTGAAATTTTTTTTATTTGCTGAATATTATTTAAGAAATTATTGCAATTTTGGCTACATATAGGTATAGGTACCTACGTGACTTTTATCAGGAAAATTGGTTGCTTATCGATTTTACATGATTGATAAAAAAATATCCACGTATGATTTGCGAAATACGAGTAAATAAACAAAAAAAAGACTATAAGTGTAACTTACACCGGTATACAAGGCCTTGTATTATTATATATATATGTATATATATATATATATTCTAATTTTAATTATTACGTTGCATTTCTGGTAAAACTGCATAAAAATATTTACTTAATATTTAACGACTATTACAAGGTTACTGTAGGACATTTGTACACTTATAGAAATAATTATTTTATCTCAAAGTATTAAATCTGAAATTTTACATTTATGTTATATTTTTTTGTAAATGATATTTTTCTTTGATATTAAAATTTATTTTTGGGGTTCCCCCTAGCAAATAAATTATTAAATAGTCAATTTTACACAAAAAATTGTATTTGTATTTGCTTGAAGAGCTCTTCTAAAAATGATACATGGAAACCCCAAAAATAGGAAAAACAAAATATTTCTAAAAATGTACCGATTTTTTTCTTTAAATATTTTACATAATGCAACTAAAATTAAAAAAATAAACAAATAAAAAAAATCAATGTTAGTTTTTAAAATTCGATGATTATTAAAAATATTGTGCACTGTTTTTATCCCCCCCTCCAACTACTTCAAACGGTATCATATGCATCTGATTGAACAAAGACGTTTTATTTTAACTACTCCCTAGTTTCTGAACGCACTTTAATAATAAATGACAGTAGTTCAAAACACTAATTAGTTTTTTTTATTATTATGCCTTTTCATGTAAAATAATATAAATATTAAAAAAAAATGGCCTTAAATCAGGAAGAAAAGTATGTGGAATTCTCAAATTTAAATTTTTTATAGTTTTATATTTTTTAGAATAATTCAGCAAAATAATGAATTTGATGAAAATTCTTTATTCAGTTCAATAGAGCCTTTATCGAAAGGCTTATTAAACATTTATGAGCCAAGCTTGGTGGTTGCTCAAAAGCAACTAAAAGAACTAACGTAACATAATTATTTTTAATTAAAAAATTCACCTACTAATTGAGTTAATTATAGGGATAAACAAGAGTTAATGCTGAAACAATTACACCAAGAAAACTTGAGCTTATTAGAAGTACAGCATGATCAAGACTTGGAGCATATATTTGGGAGATTAAAAATATATCAAGCAAAACTTGTAAACATAAAAAAAGATATCAAAACATTGCATGACCGAAGTTCAAAACTTAAGAAGAGAGCTTTAAAATTGCAACAAATAAAAGAAAAAGAAGAGGCTGTTAAACAGCAAAAAGAGCTCAGCTTAAAACAAGAGGAAGATCTAATAGGAAACAAATAAAGTTAAGAAGATTGAGATAAAAACTTTTATTGTTGGAAATTTATACAATATTTACAAATAATTTAAATAAACTATGTTACATAATTCCGTTTTTAATCTAGTCGAATTGCAAATGAAGCACCACAAGAGCAACCTTGTTCAGCTAAGGGGTTATTAACTATTTTAAACGAAGATCTAATTAATTCTTCTTGATAATCTACTGTGGATCCTTTAACATATTCTAGAGATGTTTCATCAATAACAACTTTGGCTCCATCTTTTTCAAATACCCTAATAAATTGTAACTGTTATTTTTATTTCTACCAATTTTTAAATATCTTACTTGTCATCTTTGTACATATTATTATCCAAATCAAACTTATACTGAAATCCTGAACACCCTCCACCCTCAACTGTAATTCTTAAAAAGTGTGCTTCCTTTTGGGCAACTTTCTTTAACCTCTCTACGCAAGTGTTGGTTAGGTGTAATTCAGCTTTGACATTTTCCAGGGGTTTAACGTTAGCATTTAAATTGCTTGCAAAATTCTTTGAAGCGCTGAATATTAACCGTCTGGCCAGTAAAGCCTTTGGAAACATTTTGCAAAAATAAACCAAAATTTTGTCAAGTAAATATTATTGGTTCATTTGAACTACTAATCAATATCCCAGTGTTGCCATATCGTCGCTTTGGATTTTTTTCTAAAATTATGTTTTTAACATCTGCGCCTATCCGTTTTAATATTTTAAAGTTATTTTTAAGGAATTCCTATTTTTATTTTTACATTAATATGGGAAATTCGTTCTTTTTATTTTCGTGTTATGGATTTTAAGCGGTATGGTTTGTGTATACGTCAGAGTTGACAGATTTGTATTGTCATGATATTTTCAAAATAGAAAAATGTCGAGTCAAGAAGTAAGGCTAGAGGTTTTAAAATTGATTGAGCAAAAGGACAAAATTGAGGGTGAAATTAAGGAGCTAACTGGCATTCTCACACAGGTTAAAATAATGATATTATTTATTGCTATGTTAGTTTGGTAATCGTTATTGTTTTCTTTTTAGAATGGCGTTGGAATGAATGATCCCTTGGTAGATAATGACGGATTTCCTATAAATGCTATTGATGTGTACCAAGTACGACATGCTAGGCATAGGATAATTTGTAAATATTGCAATATTAATGAAAAAAATTGTTTTAATAAAATATTTCAAATTAGGTTTACAAAATGATCATAAGGCATTAATGAAACAAATTGAAAATGGTTTATATGGGTATTATTCAAATGGAGATTCTTCTCAACAAACTTCCACTGCAATGGAAGTTGATAGACCTTTTGTAATATCTTATAAAATTCCATTTGCGAAAGTTAATTTGGTAAGCCCAGGCTCACCTGCAGAATATGCAGTAAGTATATCAATGTAGCAGTAATTTTTGGGGTGACCTGGTGACCCTGTAATTTCAAAAAATTGCATTGGTGATGACAGGTTAAATTTAGTTTAAAAATTGTTTTAAATCCTTTTATATAATAAAATTTTATGAAATATATCAATTTTAAAAATATTTTTATAACACCTTGTTTAAAAAAAATTGAAATTTTTGTAAAAAAAAATATTCAGCTTTTTAATTCTTCAAATTTAAATTTTTAATCCAAATAATTTCAAATGTTATTTTTTAAGGGTATTTCCCAAAATGATGAGGTGGTAGAATTTGGATCTGTAAACTTTACAAATTTCAAAAACATCACAGATATTGCCACAGTGGTTCAACATTCTGAAGGCACACCTGTAAGCATAAAATTGAAAAGAGGTGAACGGTTTCTTACTGTTCAGCTTATACCAAAAAAATGGACAGGAAAAGGTTTACTAGGCTGTAATATTATAGGTTTATAAAACACATTTGTTCAATAAAAACATTTTTATTTATAACAGTTTATATTCCTCTCTATAACTCCAGCTTTCATTCATATACACAAAAACATCATGAACAATAACTGACCCTTGACTACACATGTAAAAAAAATTAGTTACAATTAGTTAAATTGAGCATTATTCTTGATTTTTTTCCAACTCTGCTTTCATTCTTTTATACAAGGAAGGCATATATGTCAACTGTTTATCAACACATTTTGTGGCACATTTTTCAAATTGGGTAGTGAACTTTTCAATCTAAAAAGTAATAATATTAATTGAGGCCCTTAGAAGGGGTCATATATAAAACTGTTGAGTGAAGAAGTACAAACCTTTATCAATGTTAAAACCATGTAATTTTGAGTCAAAATTTTGTATTATTTTTTACTTTGTTTGTCAAGCTTACAATTTAGTTATATACCTAGGCTACCAATAAAACTAACTTTTACTTTATATTTCTATAAATAAATTCCTTAACAAAAAAATTTCACTTGTATCCTTTGGCTTCTAGAGACCTTAATTATAACTCAAAACATTTCATAATTTTATTATAAAAGATTTAGTCATAACAAAAAATATTTAAACCTGTTTAAAATTAAAAAACTAAGAACAGTATAAAAACACTGGATTGGGACATGTATGTATAAAACTAATATTACATTTTGTAAGATAAACTTAATTGTTCTCATTTTCATATAAAAATAAAAATGTAGGATTTTTAATATAACCTTGGTGTACTTTATAGGCAATAAATAAAAAACAAAGGCTGATCCAATAAAACTGTCTAGTATTTTATAGAATTAGATAACCAAAAAAAAGTTTTAAGTCAAAATTTAATTCAAAATTCAACTGATAAAGGCACCTCATATTAAAACTTAAAAAAAGACATTTGCTAAGACTAGTACTACTTCAATGGAGAAGCTTATAACATTTCAGATAAAATAAAATAAAAATAGTGACTGTTTACCTCTGATTCTGTTGGGTTGGGGCCCATTTTCACTCTAATATCGTCATTACAGTCCATAACACATCTCTGAAGTTTATTTTGCAACTGTTCAAATTCTTTTTGAACATACGATTGGGCAAAATTGAGAGGTGCCGAACATTTCTCCACACACTGTTGTACTCTTTCCATGGATAAGTCTCTATTTTCACAACATTTTGCTGCACATTTATGCATTGTTACCTAATAAAAATTAGTAATGAAATGCATATTTTGGTAATTACAAATTATTTTTTTTACCTGCATTTTTCTTAAATATTGCAAGTCAATATCTGTGACTAGTTTGGTCATTTCTTGTTCAACACGTTGTCTCTGTAATTCAACCATTTTTATAGAATACACATAAATTTAATTGTAGAAAAATAAATGCGGTTTTGTAGGTTAGGATTCTTAACCTCAAAATTTATTTGTTCTTCTTCTTCTTCTTCTAAAATGTTCTCCAGCCATAGATAGGCGGGAATTTTAAAATAATATTTTTTTGATATAGGTAATTAAAAATAGGAATTTCTTTTTAAATAAATTTATTGATGACAAAATGATTTTAAGTACAAATAAAAATACTTTGAAGTTAATAATATGTTTATAAAGGTTTTCTTAAAAACACTTATTATATGAATGTTATCAAATTTAATGGCTTTTAACTAACAAAAATGATATAAGTATTTGAAATTAATTTAAAAGTACAATTACGCAACTTTTTAAAAATTTTGTTTATAATTAATTGTGATAATAATTATTATCCTAACATAAACTATATAAATTAGTTTGTGTTATCTTTAAATAGTAATTACTTGCTAAATGAATAATAAATTGAATATACATAAACATGCATGAATTTCCTGTAAAAACAAAATGGTGCAAAACAAAGAGGGAGACCGCAAATTCAAACTAGCCGCCAAGATTTGACAATTGAGCATCGGTGGGTGTCGCTGGTGTTGTTAGTAGTGTCAAAATGGCTGCTAGCGATGATGAACCTATGCACCATTTATATGAAGTATTTACAACTTGTTTTAATAAAATAGCAAACAAAGCACCAGGTATGTCACTTATTAATTATTTCTGTGCATGTTAGGATGTAGAAAATTACAATTTCGGTCGGATTTCGGCCCAGCAAAGCTAAAAACGGAACACAACGCGTGCGACTACCCAAAACATTAAAACAGCTTGTTTTAAAATACGTCCGTTGCTAGATGCTGCGACTCTATCTTAAGATTTATCTTATCGTTATCAGTAATTTTCGTTTAATTAGTTGATAATGTGCGCAATTATATCACTGGTTTAATTTAAAACAAATGCATAATTTGTGTCATTTGTTGTATCATTGTAGTTGGCTTTTCTTTACTGTTTACTTTATTATGCATTGGCAGTATACAAATTTTCACTCATTATATTAAAGTATGCGCCTAATAATTTACAGTATTAAATCTTAAGTTTCCAGTTGTTTCTGTTATTAACAATGTTGTTTCTGTTATTAATAATGTTTGTTGTTTTTGTATATGTACAGTCAATACATTTTTAAAGTCGTAACGAGAAAACTTCTTAAAATTGATTAATAAATTTGTGAAAGTGTTTAGTAAAATACGTCCAAAATAAACGGATTAATTAATTTCGTTAATAAAAGTCAACGTCTTCAGGTAGAACAAATGAAGTGTGTAAATAATTACATATGAACATTAATACGGTATTTTTAAACTTTTATTGATCTTTGATTTTGCTGCGGATAAAATAACTTTTTATTTAATTAAAATTGTATGCACCAATAAACAAAATGTGAGCTTAGAAACAAAAATAACGGCCCCTCTGTTTCTGGATTTTAATAAATATTTCAGGATTGTTTGGGATTAACAGTTTACCATTAAACACGTTAACTTCTAGAAACATATTTTTATTTTAAAAAAATATTATTTAAAAAATGCAATCTTATGTTAAAACTCTCTTAAAATGTATTATAGTTAATCAATGATTACTTATATCTAGCTTCAATTGGACCCAATGCAGAAAGCATCCAACCCACTAAACAATTGTTTTGTGTTTTAGTTTTCTTTAAGTAGGTAAATTGGTTATATTACCAAATCACAATAAATCCATTTTTAATAAATAGTTTTTAATGATTTGAACTAAAATGTACCAAAGTTGTAACGTTTGGATAAAAATAATAGTCAAATGGATTAAATGCCTTCATATAAATTAATTAATTATATTTTATGACAATATGAAATAGGATTGGAGATTTTTCCTGGATAAAATTTAGCTTTTTTCCGTTATCTACTAACTATAAAAAATATCCATATTTTTCTTGTTTGTGGGTTGGTTGTTTTCTGTAGAACTGCGTTCAATTGACATTTCAGACAAATACATGTTTTTGGATTTTTAATATCTCACATCAATTATTATAGGAAATTTTAAAAATAGACAATGATGTAAAATAAATTTATATTCATAAAAAATATATCCCCAGGATATACCTAAAAAAATTGATTTTAACAAAAAAAAAAATCTCAAATTTGTCATTTTACCGCGAGTACTGATAGCAATTGTTTTTGTTGTCTAAGGTAACTATGTCCGATTCATGCACATCTGTGCGATTTATTGAATTATCGAAAACCTCTTGACTTTTTAAGACGCCACAAAATGATTTATCAGAAAAATTCCAACCTGTGATAGTTGTATTAATTTTATCAGTTTGCTCGGTTTACAAGTGTTTTGTGTGGTGCGAATTAAATAATGTCCAGTGGGGACGTATGCGATAATTTCTTTTACAACGTTTGGCAGTCCCTTGAGGCCGAAAACAGTAAGTCACCCCTGCTTAAAATATTCACGAAATTTAATGGGGGTGAAAAGAATATCTTGGTACCTGTTGAAACACAAATAATAGATTTGTTGTACTATGAAGGGATCTAGTAGACAAGTTTAACCGTAATTTTTTAACGTTTTACCGCCAGTCCGTAATTAAATTTGTATTTTATTCAGATTTATAAAAGCTTGCGTTTTACCGGCTATTTTCGAACTTCTAACGGAGCTAAACTATTAAATTAATTTAACAGCTTCATTCAAGTCCAATAATTTTGCATTTTTTAAAACTTATCCGGAAATACTTTGGAAGTATTTATGCTGAATTTTATTCTTGGAGTTACTAAAATAACTGAACGACGATAACAAAACTTTTGAGCGCTTAATTAATTTGGATTTTAAAGTTTAAATGCTAATTTTGGGTTTCATTAGTTCACAAGTTTTTGATAATTTGGACCGGTTTAACATATTTTAGATCGATTTTAAAACTTTTAAAAAACATTTTTATTTGCGAGTTCGTTTTTATACAGGGTGCACCAAGTACATATGGGTATTTTTGTATTTAAGGAGCTATAAGGTCGGTTATACAGCTATCAGATAAAAGCCTAATAAAATAAAATTTTTACATTTTTATCCAATTTCTTCGATACTATATTTTCAATTTTGTTTTTATAATGGCTACCATAACAGTTATATAGTAAGTTTGATATATCGTTGGATTCCTTAATTTTTTTTGATCTAACCATGTACAAAAATCCAATATGGTGGCCATAAATGGTGGTGAAAACTCAAAATCTAGTTGGCGAAAACAATCACAAATTCAATGAAAATATAGATAAATGTGCGGATACTTGTTGCACCCTGTAAAGATTCATATATGAACATTATTTAGAAGCATTTGATGGCATTTTAAATTTCATTGAATTAAAAATATATAAACCCAGAGTGACTCGTGGAAGGGGTTGTAAAAGTAAATAATTTTAAAAAGCAAAGCAAGGTTGTAATTAGCGGGTAAGGACGAAGTTCTGTGGTAGCAAAGCGCATTTTACTCTTTACACGGCCGTATAGTGTACAGGAGATTGCAGCGAGCCGGTTGGCTATCAAAGACAGATGTTCGACGTTGGGCCGCGTAACGAATAAACTCGCACAACGTTGCCACATATACACAAATTCAAGAAGAAAAAAAACGGTCTCATTACAATATAAAGTAGCTATGTTTCAATTTTGCGACTTTCTTTAGCAATTTTCTCATGCTTTTTTCAGTAAGAGTAGGTACTGCAAATATTTTTTATTTAATTCTTTCCTATGTATAAAATAATATGTCAATTACCTATTTAATTGTATTTATTATTTTGAAATGTAATTTTTACACTTTTTTAGATAAACAATTAAATTGTTAAATGAATTATAAAAACTTATTATTTGTATAACATTTTTAATTACATTTTGTTTATGTTGATGTTAATGTTAATGCTTTTTCCATTTACATAATTCTTGTTATATCTTTAAATTGGGAAATTCAATATTAATAGTAAAATATTTTACTATTTAAAGGGGCCGTCCATAAATCTCGTGACGCTTGTCACGCCCTAGGAGGGAGTTTTTTTAAACTTAAAGTTAATAATAATTATTATAATAATTATTATATCGAGTTCAGCAAAGAAACGGAAAAAATGTTTTTGGGGAAGGGAGGTTCGATAATTCGTCTTATGACCCTTTGGGGGGGGGTTTACACATAGTTATTCTGTCACAAGGAGGGGGTCAGTTTTGACCATGTTAAGAAATTTATGGACGGCCTAAAATAATAAAAAATGTACGTTTTTTTCACAGCTTGATTAAAAAAATACCAAAGCCGTTTTATTTAGTTCTTTGCATTTTTTACACAACAGTTTTTTTATAAAAAATATAGTATACGAGTAAGTACATATAATAACTGATTAATTTTTTATTATACTTTTAAATATTTGTCAAATAAAAAAGCAAATGAGTGGTTTTAACTCAAAGCCTTTTAATGAAAAAAAATTAGAACAATCTAAAATAGTCTAAATTTAAGTTAAAAATTTAGGTAATATTAATTTAATATTTTAAATATTTTAAACCTATAGTGAACTAATATCATTATTTATGTATTTTTTATAATAATATATAAAGTCGAGTATAAAGTATACTTTATTACTATAGAATCTGATACACATATAATTATGTCGTAGTTGAAAATTCTGATATGTGGATTTTGTGAAGTTTTTAAGTGGTCCCAAAAGAGTGTTTATTTTATATCTTAAAAAAAAATATTTGGATTTTTGTAACCAATTTAGAGTTTATACCATAAACTCTAAATTAATTACAAAAAACAAATAAAAATTGTTTTGAAAAATAAAATGAACACTTTTTTGTGCCCACTGAAAAATTTCATAGAATTTACATAGCAGATTTTGACTTTTTAACGACGATGTGTGAATATGGGTTTTCACAAATATTTGAAAAAACTACAAACCTGTCAAAACAAAAAAACGTTATAACTTCGTTATTTCTGGGAAATTTGAAAAAAGTAAGTTTCCGATGGAAACATACACATTTATGTAAATTTTTCCCCATTCTTAGCTACTATAGTATATATGTATGTATAATATACATTGTATATATATGTAGTAAGTTTGATTCATCGTTGGATTTTTAATTTTTTTTTTACATCCAACCATGTAAAATTCCAATATGGCGGCGATAGAAAAAACAAAAGAAGGTGGTGGTAACTCAAAATCCAGTGGGCGAAAATATCACAATTTGGATGAAAATGTGGATAAATTTGTATTTTTACATGTAAAAACTTTCTTTTTTTCAAAATTTTTAGGAATAAGGATTTTTGTTTTTGACAGGTTTTCAGTTTTTTTTCAATTATTTGAGTACCGCTGATTGTTTCTCCAATTTTCAAATGCCATTTTAATAGACTTGTATACAAGTCTATAAAAATGGCATTTGAAAATTGGAAAAAAATTATAATTACTCAACACTTCTCTAATTTAACCGACTTTGTAGCTTAACAAATAAAAAAGATACCCATACATAAAAGGATACTTGGTACACCCTTTAGATATAAATTATGCAAATGAAAAGATATATAAATAGATATATATTACCTAGTTATTTTGTTTGTAAATGTAAATTTAATATTAATTTTTAAAATACTTATTATACATAATGTTATTAAGTTTTAAAGTGGATATGTAGATGTGTATATAAGAAACTACTG